AAGTACTGGGGGTTTATTAAGCCACCGAATAGCTTGCGCTGGGACGATGCGTCAGTCGTGGCTGGCTCTCGAGTCGAGAAGAAGCACGCGATCTTCTTTCTTTCCTACAGATGGTAGAGCCGCGCTTGCAGTCGACGCACTAAGTGTGGGTGGAATTATGGTGGTTTTGGGACGTTAAACTCCACATATATTTTTTTACATTTATTGAAGCCTCAAGGGCGCGGAGGCATTACATAAGGTGGGGGCAAACAATATATGAGGGACTCTTATTCACACAAAACACAAATATCAATCACACAAATATCAATCATCAATCAACCCAGCGGCTCTCGAAGATGCCGGTGCGTATGAGTATGCTCTGTTTTTCTATTCCGTGTCTCTAGATCAGGGCCTTCTCAGCGTCCAGCGTTTCTGATATGGTACTTTTGAATTTCTATCAGGCGACTTGTCATTTCCTGTTGTCACATTTTTTCGTCGTCTTGATATTGTCACGGCGTCGTGACATATGGACTAAAGCAGCAGTCGGTGTCTTCAAGGGGAAACTCTTTATTTAGATGAACTTGTGGCCGCGTAATAGAAACTCAAATGACAGTGAGCAATGCGTGCTGTACACTGAAATCAACGCAGAGAGCGTCGGCCGTCGATAGTCTGATCCGCCGCAAGGCACATTGGCACCTATACATGCGGCTGCGAAAATTCGCACATCATATCTGGCTGCTGCTTTTATTCCAGAGTGAACTGAGCTCTTTGTGTTTGCGTGCTCAAGCCTAAGAGATGGATGGGTGGATAGATGAAAAACTTTATTGGAGTCCTGAAAGATTCCACCCCCGTTTTATAAGGGTACGATCGCGGGCCGCTCCCACGTACAGACGGGATGATCCCAAAATAATCTGGAATGATCCCAGGCATTCTGGCGTGGTTTGCGCGAGGTGTTATCTAACGTGCGATAGGCCGACGACATAAACAGTGAAAGAAAAAAGCATGCGTGGCATTATGAACGTATGGCCGTCGTGCAGGAAGGAAACTGTTAGAAGGGATATGTGGGGTTCAATGTCCCAAAACCACCATTTGATCATGAGAGACGCCGTAGTGGAGGGATCCGGAAATTTCGACCACCTGGGGTTCTTTAACGTGCACCCAAATCTGAGCACACGGGCCTAGAACATTTCCGCCTCCACCGGAAATGCAGCCGCCGCATCGGAAATGCAGCCGCCGGGATTCGAACCCGCGACCTGCGGGTCAGCAGCCGAGTACCTTAGCCACTAGACCACCGCGGCGGGGCTGTTAGAAGGGAGCATTCTGCAATAAAAAAGAAAAGAAGAAATAAAGAAAGAACGAAAAAAAAGAAAGAAAGAAAGAGAAAGAAAGAAAGAAAGAAAGAAAGAAAGAAAGAAAGAAAGAAAGAAAGAAAGAAAGAAAGAAAGAAAGAAAGAAAGAAAGAAAGAAAGAAAGAAAGAAAGAAAGTACGTCAGACACTGACCTGACCCAAAGACGCTGACCCAAAGCTTCGCATGCCTCCAATTCTCGATAGAGCAAGGGCTCCTGATTTTTTCCTCCCCTTTCTTATCAAGCAGAATGCATGTTTGCATTCCTACACACCGCTTGCTGTGGCCGTTTGTTGATCGGGGATCTGCAGGAGGCATTGGAAACAACACGGGCTAGTGCGAAATTACCGGCCGTCGTGCAACAGAAAACAAAAGAAAAGAAAAAAGAACGAAAAAATGACCTCACAAAATTCGTCGTTTTCTCTTGGCGGAGCGTATACGCTTTCACCGTTTATTCAAAGTGCGAGCAATGATGAGTCGCCTATAATAGACCAGCTTACAATGGACGCAGAGCAGGATTCGCGGATGCATTACATACAGCATATATACGCTTCGAAAAATTTCGTTTTTCTCATTCCTTCCCAGTGAATGACTTCTGACGAGCGGAGCAGGTGGTATATACTACGCGCCTGGGATACACGAAGCACGTAGGCGACACGCTTGGGCCTGAGTGACGCGTGGCCTGCAGGTCACCGCGGGCTCCGCAGCCGCCCCGTCAAATCCCTCCTCCTCCGGGGCTCGGTCTCGGGCTCAATCCTGGCTGGCCGCTTCATTGCACCCGGCTCGCGGGGGCATAGCTTGCCTCGGGTCGTGGCCGCTGGCCCAAAACTCGAAATCTGTCCACGTAGTGTGTAGTGTCGTTGCCCTGATTAAAATCGTCGACCTCACTTGAGGCCCAGGGCGAACGACGCACACTCCCTCTCGCTTTGTACACTGCCTACTTCCTTCTTTCTCTCTTTCCCCTCTTTATATCTGGGCGGGTTCTCGCTTTACCTTTTTCACCTTTTTTTTAAATTACAGGTAGGATTGTACGATTGTACTGTTTGGTTTTCTATTTACTATATTTTTAATATTTATCATTTTATTTGTTTTATTTTTTGCGACAGGATTTGTGCGATTATGTCCTCTGACAGAGCTGTTCGGTCCACGCGGAGTCATTATGAGAAGACCTAATTTAATTTGAGGTTGAGTGGCTGCAGGCTCTCAATGCGGCTCTGTTTGCACGGTGTTTACTCCGTCTATAGTTAAACGTTCAACCTCGCTGAACTAGCGTGAAATGGAAAATGTGGCTGAGGCGTCGAAGATACGTTTTGCGGTCACAGCTGTTGTGGACGCTTGATTCAGTCGCTCGGCTTGGTCTGGATTCGTATTAGTCGGCGAATCTGTCATGTATACCGCACTCCACTGATATGAAACGCACTTGCAGGACAACCACAGTTGGTGAGCAGCTTGCGTTTACGCGCGTTTAACGTTTACATCAAAAGATGATCGGTTTCCTCTGTCACTGCTATGTATACGTTCCGCAAGTTATGCGTTTCCTTAATTATTCGACGCACGTTGTTAAAATGAGAAGCTGTTTAGTTAGCCGTAACTTGTATGCCATATCGCGATTCCTCAACGGGCCCGTTCCATGAAAATTGCGCTGGTGTGCAGCAGGTGTGCTAAAAATGAGGACGAAAACTACCATCTAGAAACGGTAATGAGTCACTGTGTGGCCTATCAAAAAAAAAAAGGCAGATCCCGCGTACAGTGGGAATCGATGATGTGCGAAGCATGAATGATAAATGTTTATATGTTACTTTAAAATCAACACAACGTTACGAGACGGAGATAAAATATGCCGTAATAACTTCCATCACATGATTACGATCATGTCATGGAAGTTATCAAAATATTGAAGTAACTTGAAGTAAGCTGCATTCTATCCGCATTTTGGGCTCTCATAATATCTATCATGTAATATCATTCTCTACGCTTTTCTGTAAGACTTTTCATAAGACTTATTTCTCACCAAACTAAGTAAAATCTCGGTGATGAAAATCTCGCGGGGTAACGAAAAATATTCGTGTCATCCAAAATTCGTATCGCCAGAAAACATGAAAAATTAGTATGCGTCAAATGAAAACTAGCCCATGTTTTCTTTTATTGTTTCTCATTGTCGTCGCAACATCATGAACAGATCTGAATAATTACCGGAAAAGTTTCTAGACGTCAACGATCATGCTTGTATTCGTAAGTATACGGTGCGTGCGCGGAACCAAATGCGTTACGAGCTTTGGCCACTATAGGCCCCTCCTAATCTCAGTACGCTTTTTTGCATGGCAGTAGAGTAGTGAGGCGAAAGTGACCTAAGGAGTGTTTTAGACGGGACGAATGAAGGCCGGACATGCATTGAAGAAGAATGGCGATTTGGGCTAGTTGGTTTGAATTCATGATACTAAGGGTTGCAGCGCGAGCACGAATGTGCTAGAAGAAACAGACGAAAGTCGAGGTACGGAAGGCAAAGAGGACAACACGAGCGCTGTCACTTGTCTCCAGAACTCAGACCGGATAATCTTGCACATCCTTTTTGCGTGTCCTCTGGATGGAGCTAAAATCCCGCACAAATTGCGAACTTCTTCCGGACATGTCTCTTGCCGAATATTCCACGACGCTGCACGTGCTCGACATAAACATACTGCAATCCACGAAACCAAAGTGCTCGTGTTGTCCTCTTTGCCTTCCGTACCTCGACTTTCGTCTGTTTCTTCTAGCACATTCGTGCTCGCGCTGCAACACTTACTATCATGAAGGCCGGACAGTTTTAGGACCACTGTCTTGTGTTGATATTTTCTTACCGCGGGAGGTTTGCTCAACATTCGAGTCTCTCTCGTGCAAATCGGATAGTTGGCCGATGCGCGTGTCCCCAACAACCGTACATGTTGACGTTGCGAAGCCTAGCTCCTTCACCAAGACCTTCCTCCTTCGGTACTTGTCTTCCTTTCATGAAATGTCTCACTATATGCGAGGGCATGACTCGCATCGACATAGAAGGCATGTGTAAGTAGAGTGCACCATCGTCACAGTGGCACGCGTCGGGGCGAGGGGGTGGGGAGAAAGCGACGCTAACACCATCTGTAATCTAAACACGAAGGCGCGTGAAGGCGCATTAGGGCCTCCGAGATTAAAGAGCACAATTTGCCGTGTTTTTCCGTGGCAGTGTGGGCAGTACCTGTTCGGATCTGCTTGGTGGCGTACATTAGTACCAAACGTGGCGGAGTTAAAAACTGTTCGCAACACCCGCGCTCTATCATACTGCAGGTTCGTAGGCCTAGGCCGGAACAACAGAAACATTTGTATCACCCGAAGTTACGTTCAAGTGGTGACCATATCACCGAGGTTCATTGTAGCTTGTTCCCTTTAAAGATATTCTGCCGTTACCTGCCTCCTCAGTTCTGCTCTGATACTGCCCAATTTTACCTGCACAAATTTAACTTTCAATAAAGCCGTGATGACAGGACACAGCAACGCATCGCGCCGCGATTGATTCCAGCAGATGGCGGGAAATTCAGCTTGGTGTACTTCTGAATATTTACCATTTTAGGCTTAAAAAATGTGTACCCTGCCACGTCACATGCGCTGAATGCAGGGAGGAGGTCTGTTGTGACTTGGTATTTTTTATTTTTCTTCCCGCAGGAAACACCGCTGTCGTTCTGCGTCGTTCGGCTCCTTCTCAAACGATGCACAGGAAACACTGCAACAAAGAGCACGAACCAGCTGTAAGTCTTTTGTAAAATTGTACGAGCTACGAGACGTACTAAGTAGAGTAATTCTTGTGGTGTTCTTACATTTTCAAAGGAAAACACCACATTCGCTTTAATTTTTCTTCGTGCGATGCACATGACAGCTGTCTGCGATGCATTCATACAAACGTACAAATGACACAACGTCTCGTTGCAAAGTAGATCATTGCGTGGTCTTTATATAAGTAGAAGACGTGGAACAGCTCTCTTGAGTTATTCCTAAATATTCCACTATGCTCCGTAGCAATGAATATGTGGGCGCTCCTGCACTGCAGGATTTTGAGTACAACTTAAACCTTTTAAACTCAATTTATTGTGTTCCAAATAATACACACCTTGGTGCACACCCGTATAGCCGCGTTGGCTAATCAACAGCAACAGTAATAGCAGCAATAAATCTAAGAAGAAAAAGTATGAACGACACTGATTACTGTAACACATAATTTATACTTTATACTTCTTCAATTCAATCTGCGATGTTGTCTGGCGAAGCATAGTGGCTATCGTTGTTCCTCTGTCTTTTTCACTCTAACTCTTCCTTCCACACGTCTGTGTTTCAGGTGAAAAAGAAGTAGGGAGGAGGCAGTGGGAAGTGTCACCCGACAGAGTACGTCAGATTTCGAAATCTTATCGCAGCATCGAGCGTCAAGATGACGCGAGCGAAACGACGACCGTCTCCGAACAGAGGATGTCGAGGCAGGAGCGTGCCTTCCAGAGCGAGGTCTTCCATGCGGATGCGATCGCGACAGGGGAAGGAGCTCTCGGTCACGAAGGCAGAACCCGGACTGCTGGAGGGGTCGCGAATGGGCTCTCGTACGGACAAGCAACCACTAGCGAAGACGCCGCGGCCGAGCATCTCGTTCAGAGTTACGAATTCGCAACTCATGAAGAGGGGGATCTCACGAAGAGTGAGAAACGTCACTGCCACCACAGCCATCATCACCACGACCACCACCATCACCACGTGCACAGCTCATCGGGGAGGGCCGACGGCGGCGGCCATGCCCAAGGCAGGGCAACGTCGCTGTACCGTCCGAAGACGTCGCTGAGGCTCGAGGGTCCGGTAGAATACACTACCACCAGTTCCGACTATTTTTCGACAATTGACCAGAATCTGGTTGCGAGAGCAGAACGGTATCGCTTGGAGCGGCAGAATGTTGTTGCCGCCAGTGCCGCAGCAGCTGCCGAAGCTACCGGCGCAGCCGACGCTGCTGCCACTATTGATGCAGCAGATGCCACTATTACTGCTGCAACAGCAAATTCCATGAATGGTGCAACAGCAAATTCCATGAATGGTGCAGCAGCAGCAGCTAGTGCTGCTGCCACTGCTGCTACTGCCTCATATGGTGCACGGCACTACCCACTGACTCGGCCGCAGACTAGCTTGAAAACTGGTGGAAAAGCACACTTCTCTACAACCACGGCTGAAGACTTCAAGATCCGGGAACAAACTGAGAAGGTCACCAGGAGGCTTCGGCCTAGAAAGTTCGATGATCCATCTTACGACAGCATGCAGGTGCAAGTCGAAACTGATGTAAAGAAGAGGCGCACTGAAATGGATGCTCAAGACCGAGCATCATCTGATGGCGTCCACGAGGAAGTAGAAAGAAAAATCAAGGAGGAAATAGTTCACGGCCATCAGTTTAGGGAAGATAGAGAAAGGGCGGAAGCACAAGGAGTATTTCACTGACCATCAATTCAGGGAAGAAGAAGCAACCTCGACGGAGGCGCTGGAACAATCGTACCTCGAAGCACGTCATGATCACCGAGCAAGATCCACATATGAAGAAGCACGGGACGTGTACGAGGTGTCTCACCTTCATAAACCGGGGAGATCGCGGCCAGTTGACCAGTCATTGAGAACGGCAAATATGGAGGCCTACTACCATCCAGAAATGTCTGTCCCGTTCTACCCCAAGGACAATCTCGCGGTGTCGTCTGGGGAGATGGATCTGCGTACGACGAACGATATAGAGTTCTGCAAAAAAAAGATGGACCGAGTCAGGCCTGTCAAGCCCAAGTCTCTGGCAAAATTGTTTGGCAGCAACGGAAGCTCATTCGAAGGGGATCCCCAAGCGATGGCCTCACGCCACCGCAAGGAACAAAGTGTTATGGACCAGAAGGATGTGGTGGAACACTTGCACGCAGCTGGGATTAGTTCCACTCACGAAGACTCAAAAATGCACCTGGGTGCTAACAATGTACTCATAAAGCGAAAGTCCAAGGGCGAACGAAAAGCCCACTTTGAGGGCGATAGCGTAAAGTGGGAAGGGGCCGGCTCGTACTCAACCACGACAAAAGATTCCTACAAGAAACCAGAAAGCACGCGTGCTAGGGTAGCCCTTTGTAGGAGGACCGCAAAGCCATGACGTCTTCCACAGGTTTACGCAAACGGGAGACGAGCTGCGAAGAATAAAGGCAAGAAAAAAGACACCGATGAGATTACCATGTTTGGCCGGAAGGATTCCGCAGAGCTTATTGCTGAAATACAGGGTCTTTTGGGAGCAAGCGGGGCAAAGCGCACAGAAAAGAAAGCAGTCAAGCAAGACGTAGTTGTGCGCAAGAAAGTTGGTGTGGCGTCAACATCTAAGAAAGAACGTGCGGTTCAAGCAGTGTACGAAGACAGCAGGCAAAGGTCGCGAGAAGGAGTGCACGAGCGTCCAAGAGGACAGGATAAGGCTAGAGTAGTTAAGAAAGATGCACATCAGAAAGCACCCTTTGCAGATCAAGAACCTTCTCGAGCGAATGGAGAAAGCACAGCGGTACTCAAGAGAAGGAGTGCGGAAACTTCGATAGAGCAGCACAGAAGTGAAATGCGGGTAAGCGAAGTTAGCGCTGGACAGCAAGAGTACCTCGAGTCTGTTGTGACCACGAAGAAATTTGAGGCCGGGCACCACAGACGAGCGGAGGCAGAAGACGACATTCATAGGAGTGAAGGTGTCATCGTGGAAGGTAACGAAGCGCAGGGCTACATTGATCAGGGTGCTTTAAGTTCTGAAGCTCAGCTGCTTGCCCAGAAGAGTGCAGATACGCCAGATGCGTCTAGGCAGGAGGCCTCGCACGTCTGTCCGCATGTGAGCAGTGCAAATCGTGAAAGACTTCGCTTCTCTACTACAACAGCGGAAAGCTTCAAAGACGTCAGCGAAAAGGTACAGCCCGCGAAGCCTTTTTATCCCAAGCCAAACCTCGCTCCCGAAGGAAGCATGAGCTTCGAAACAGTCCACCACAGAGAGTTCACTCCTAAGACAGTCGTGGAAGTGCCGACGCCGGTCAGGCCCGTATCGATGCTCAAACTGAGCGACGACACATCTTACGTGGTCAGAAACGAAGACAAAATTGGTTACTCCAAGGCGGCTCCTTCAGTCGGTGGAACAAGGTACTCTATAAGGAAACCTCAGTCTACGCTAGTACTAGGCCAAGATTCGGTAGACTACAAAACGACTTCGCAGCTCGAATACAAAGCACATGAATCCCGCGAACTGGAGGATATATACAAGAAGGCTGTCAAGGTTAGACGGGACAGACAAAGGACGTACACCCGCGGACAACACGCCGCAGCTGCAGTGTCTACAGCAGGTGGGGTGCAGCAGCATACTTCTTCAGGCGTCCAAGAAGTGACGACAACTTCTCGGGAGGCCTTCAAACCGGTCACCGTAGAGCGCCCCCAGCCGTACAGGCCACAGAGCTGCCTAAAGGTGCGCAGTGCAGATGACTCTTACGCCGAAATATCGACCACGATGAGGGACACGTTCAGGCGCGTCACTGCCCACGGCAAGAGTCAAGCCCATCAAACGCGAGGCATCTCTGAAGAAGCTCGGTGATGACACCGATTACACTTCCAAAAAGACGACGACCCGTGAGGCCTACGGTGAAGTGAAGATCCCGCCGAAGCCTGTGCCATACCGACCCACGGACAACTTGAAGGTGACCGGAGGAATGACGTTCTCGACTACGACTCAGGAATCGTACGCCTCGCGGTCGAGCCTGCAGCGTAACGCTACCGAGTTCGCTGAACGCGCCAAGCCGATAAAGAGAGACGCAGTCGCCAAGGACATCATCTTTCCGGTCGACTCTTCAGGTGCGCTTCTCCAAGGAGGCGCAAACTACTGCTCAATATGCAAGGCCGAAGAGTCTACGGGAGTTCTGCGGTCGCTGGAGAACACGAGCTCCTACGCGCGCATCAGCAAGGCCTCGCGCGAGAGGTCGCAGACGCACCAGAAAGTGGGAGGAGGCGCGTTCGAACACACGAGCACGTCCATGGCCGATTACCAGGACCCGAAGGCTCAATCGTGGAAGCAGCGATCGATGGCTACCGGTCGCTTGGTGCGTACTGCGAGTGCCGAGTGCCCGGCCGCGTTCCTGAACACGGACAAGTCAGAGTACGTCTTCAAGGAGGTCGTCGGAAACCACAAGTTCTACCTCCCCGCTGTGCAATGATGGGTGGGCCGGTGCCTTGCGAAAAGAAAGCTTTCAACTGCGCCTCTCGCAGTGCTTGTCTTAGAAAGTTATCATCGGGGTGATCGAGGCATTCAACGGAAGCGCTCAAGGATGCCGGGGCTGAGCAGTGTCGTATTTAAAAGCCGTGGTATAGAGCCAAGGGCCTCACGCGCCCATCTACTATGGGCTCACACGGAATCTCAATCGCCGAATTAATTGCAATGCTGGAAAACGAAGATCACCATCCGTGCGTTACTTAAAGGCTTCCGTAACATAAAGACGTGAGCTGACAGTAATCAATCGATGACTTACTTATATAGGCTGCGTTGTTTCACATATTGTTACTTTCGCTAAGACGCTTGTTTATGCTTATATTTAGTTTCCTGGCCAACGTGGAGACGAGAAGCAATTATGTTTGTTTCGAAGTCTTTATTTAATGATTACTTATGCCTTGTTTCTAGACCGAATGAAATATGTTCCGTATGTTTGTCGTCGTTCAGCCAAACGTGATTTTTCGTAAGAGTGTATTTAAAAAAAAACATTGTCGTTCGCAAGCTGAGTGCTTTTACTTGCGAATGGCTGTTAGTGTCGGAACCAAAGAACGAAATACAGCAAGCAAGGATCTTTACATTCCATAGAGCTTGCGGAAATGTAATGAACTTGCGAAGATGCAACGAAATAGGGTGACATAACGATATATTTTGCAGATAGTGCAACTCGAATGCGTTGGCAATTCGTTTATTGTGTATTTGGTTCTTGTAGCCGTGCTCATAAGCCTCCTCTGATTTCGCGCCGTGAGTGAAATCATGGTGGAGGGCTTCACTCTTGTGAGTGCTCGAGGACATGTCAGCACTTCGGAACACATCTCGGTGTGTTCCAAAAGTGCCCCGTTCTTTCGACCGCAACTCACCAATGGCAAGAGCCGAAAAAGGGCCTAAACAAGTTTACGTCAAGTTACACGTGCCATTATAGGAAAGGAAAGTCATAACTGGCAATTCAAATCGAACCTTTGAAAAAGAGGGAGTTTTAGGCTGCAGGAAAGTAATCTTTCTTGGGTACTTTTCACCAGTTACTTAGATCATATTAACAACGCATAACGTAATAGCGAAGAAAATATTGTCAACGAGAGCAAGTATAAGTGCGAAAGAAGCAAATGCAAAGGAACGATAGTAACTGTAACGTAACAGTAACAGTTGCATGCACATTGCAATGCTTAAATAACGCACGCTAACACTTTATTGCAGGTATAGCTATACCATTAAAATATGATACTTTGTGCTTTTTGTATTCTCTTAGTTTTGCGCTTCACGCTTTGTACCCATATTTAGTGTCGTATTTTTAAGGATTACCTCAATAATGTGAATTGACAGAATAAAAAAATGAAATATTTTTCTCGGTGCCTTGTTAAAGTTGGGGTTCTTGTTTACACCGCAAGTGAAGTCCACGCTGACATGTATTGAATGGGTCGCACGTGGAACGGGTGACTGAGAGTGGTCGCATAAGGACAGCGTCAGCGTAGAGCCAACGTTTCCACGAGGAGAATTTTCCAATACGATACATATCTTGTTCGGATACTATTGATAACGTCAGGCATGCATCCTTTTGTGAAACCAAAGGGGTTTTTTTTTTCCAAGCGTGTCAGCAAGTACTGCATTCGGGAACGTCAGTTGGTCATGGCATCCGGAGCACACTGAATGGATTCGATGATGCGAAGCTGTAAAATTATTACAGTGCCTACTGACGTAATCATTACGATGTAATTAATGAATGCATGAATGGCGAAAATAAAACAAAAGTTTTCAGATATGTGTTTCGTCTCATTATTTCCAATCATGCAGATATAGGACAGTCTTCTTGGAGATTAGGTAGCTGTTGACCGTCCGAATGCGTAATTTGAGAATGATCGGTTACTTTTTTTTTTTTAAGACTAGGAAGTATCATGCGATTGATAACCACTTTCTGGTGAAATCAACAACATGGTATATCTAGAAAGAGGGAATGCACCGAAATATTATTACCTTAATCCGGCTCGCAGGGATTCGCACCCGCGTAGATGTGGCAATGACTGAGTTGGCATATGTGAATTCTTACAGAAATGATGTGACTGGTCACAAAGCGAGTATACAATGCACGACGCAACCTGAAAACGTAGTTCGGCACGAATTCTTTGCGTATTTATGAAGTAGGACGCAGAATATCAGCAAAAAATAGCCGGGAAAAAGAGACAACGACACCGAGTTTTCACAAACTACAGCGGGTTCACGAACACCAGCATCCTTGTGCTTGGCACAACTTTTCTTACACAGTCAAGATTCTGAAAGTAATATTTCCTTCAAGATGCCAGGATTATTATCATGTTTATTTTTCTGGAAATAATAAACTTCGTCCCACTCTGAAACATTTCTCAAATTTTTTTAGTCCTCATTTCTACACAGAGTCACATGTCACCGATATATAGATGCCGGCAACAATTTCTGTTTTCCTAATAGTCTCTCTCTCTCTCTTTGGAAGTAGCTATTACAAAATTTCGATGCAGTATTCATACTAATTTACATTTCTACAGGTCTGGTCTGGTGCAGTCTTCTATGCACTACTGAAAGAACCTGAAAATGTTGATCATTTTTTGCTTGCACGCCGTCGTTTTAGTCGCATAGAAAGAAGCATTCCGCAAAAGTTATTCCAAAACCTAATTATGTGATTCAACAACAGAAACAACTGCTCAGTCCTAAGCAAATTCCTCGTTGAGACCTCAATGAGTTTGCCTACAGAGCTGCGCGAGGAGTCATCTACCGACCGTGTGTGGCTACTGAAGGACGTCTCGATGAGGTTCTGAACTAACGAAGATCCACCAACGACCTGCAATAAGCTTACACTAAGAACTTTTATCTGAGGAGGCGGAACTATCCACCACCGCAAAGGAAAGAGAACAGGCCTGAAGCATTGACGCTCAGACTGACTGAAGGTAGGGCATATCCCAGTCCCGCACTCTTGCACGAAATCTAGCCTGAAATTCAGGCGTCCAACACATGCGCGCTTTGCTAAGACTTTGCTAGCTTAGACTACATGCTCTGGCGATGCCCTGCGTTGCGAGTTGAAGACGTTACATCGTCCAAGTGGGATGCTGCGCTACGCAGTGCGGATTTAAGGACGCAGCTATATTTTGTTTGGTATTTTGTTTTGGTATTTCGTGTGATAGTGGTTACGGACACCGGCGGCGGCGGTCAACTGTGCCACCGCACGTGACCCTTGTGATATCATAACAGCTTTCGCTGTGAAAAATCCGCTGATATGATCAGCTTGTGGCCGTGCAGAGAGCCCACGATGCGGTGGTCAGGCTTAGCCTGCCCGTCCCAACGTGGGAGAAGTCCACTGCGCGCTAATCGCGTGTCTCAGGACTCCAAATAAAGTTCATCCATCCATGTACCGCCGGTTTCATGGTCGATCCCACGTAGCGCGTAGGAGCCAAGTAGTCAAGGCACAAGCAAGCAAGCAAGCGTTAGCACTTGTACCGTTTGCACATTGTTAAGAATTTGGTAATAATAGTGGGGTCTTAACAATGTATGTACATGTAATAAGGCAATGTTACTGGTGCACATTGTTAAGACTAACTGAGCTTAGAATATTACTATATACGAAGGCTAACACGTTGCTTGCTTGCTTGCTTGCTTGCTTGCTTGCTTGCTTGCTTGCTTGCTTGCTTGCTTGCTTGCTTGCTTGCTTGCTTGCTTGCTTGTTGTGCCTATATGTTGTGGCTCACACCCACTATGGGGAATCGACCATTATACTGGCGGTTAATCTTCAGCAGGGTTCGGTGTCTTCCGATTTATTTCTTGTTTTTCTTCATTACATAGTCGCGAAATGCCGTAGTTCTTTTCATTCTCGACTACCTCACCTCATCAATGTTTTCTCTCTTTTTTTTTACATTTAGCAAAATGTCCTGTATTAATATTTTAGCCAATCAGATTTTGTGCCCTTCCACAGCGTGGGCACGTGCCTTATTTGGGAGTCCTATCATCATCGTTTTAGAAGAAGAAGAAGAATCAACCCATCAGCCGCTTTCGACGTTCGGGTAAAGTGCTTGGAAAGTTACGGCTTCCAGCGTTCCTTTTTTTTTTTCTGCTCAGGTCAACAGTTTAATTGTGACTTCGATCAGGCATTCTTGCACAAGGTGAGCTGATGCAGTAACACAAGTGGTGCTGATAACTGTACTCTATTCGGGGCACAGATGATTTCACGTAATCCTGTACTTGGTACTCGTATTTACGAAACCTGGCCGGTGCGAGTGCACTCCGTTATTAGTCGGTGTATGGCGTTTCTTTCAAGTAACAATCGCGCCATAGTTCAACGTGTTCTCGAGCTCTATATGCTCTAGACAGGTTCACAGCGAACACTACAGCTACACCAATAATTGCAAAAATAGGCTATACAAAACATTTTAATTAATCCGTGTAGAATCACAAGTACGCAACAGGATTGTGTAGAATCACAAATGCGCAATACCAATTTTCATTTTTTTAAAATATATATATTGGCAAGGACTTCGCTCTTCGCGGCACTTGGCAGCTATCGATATAACAGTCGTAACTTAGGGACTCGGCGATCGCAAACTTAAAGAGAAATTGAGGGATTCGGCGTCGTCATACCCAAAGCTACCTGTTAATTTTTAGCAACTCTTTCTTCTGTTTATATGTGTACAGGTAAAGCTGATAAGTATGGTGCTTTCACGCCTTACACTATCGCATCCAGTAATACGACAGGGCATTTCATGCGGATCGAGGTCTTATCTAATCTCTATGCAGTCAGTTTTAAGTGCGGTAACAATTATGTAGCCCGAATGTGTTGCTGCGGCGTTACGCCGAGTCTTCTTTGCGGGCAGTGCAGTGCGCATTGCGAGCGTGGACGCTGCTCTCATTTGAATGACCCGCCCGGACGCAGCAGCTATGGCGGAAGGAGACCAGTGGGGGAGCAAGTGCACTTTCCTCCTCTCTCTCATCGGAATGTCCGTCGGGATGGGAAACGTCTGGCGCTTCCCGTACGTCGTCTACATCAACGGGGGTGGTGAGCACGATCGGCAACAATGAGGCAGCAATGCTTCCAGAGCGCCGTTGATCGGAGTCGTGCGACGTTTGCAGAGAGCAGTTGCAGGTGGCGCCACCAGCTCGGGCGCGTGTTGTCCTACTTTTCTTTTACTTACGTGGCCTCCGAAGGACGCGCAGTCTCAGAGGCCGCGCTATATGCGCCGTACAATGGTGCTTCACCGCAGAGCCTGACCATGCAGTTCTGGGCGCTTGCTATAAGCAAGCGTGGAAATATAAGAGCTTGGGCATATTCTCGGTATGTAGAACCATAAGGGAAAGAATACTGCAGCAGTGAGCGATGACCGTAGCGGTATAAGGTTAGACTGGCTTTAGGACACGCTGCTTTGTGCCTTATCTTTCTGGCGTGCGCGGAATTCGCATGTAGTGATTTCCCCATTCTGGCCATCGTTCAGTTGTAGTAATCCTCGTTCTGTACTGCTGTACGCTGCATTTCCGATGGAGGCGGAAATGTTGTAGGCCCGTGTGCTCAGATTTGAGTGCACGTTAAAGAACCCCAGGTGGTCGAAATTTCCGGAGCCCTCCACTACGGCGTCTCTCATAATCATATGGTGGTTTTGGGATGTTAAAACCCCGCATATCAATCAATCAAATGAAAACAGCCCTACGACACCGGGCGATATAAAAAGAAGCACGGTAACTCAATGCTGAAATTGCAAAATAAAAGTTTTCCTCGGTCAACGCTTACTGCCCTTAATACACAACTATATGCTACCTGCGTCAAATGAAACCCGAACAGCGGCAAGCCTTTGCGATTGTATAGTGCATGCCGTCCACTTATCACCATGCGCAGGACACGTATATATATGCGCACAGCTGCCGAACAGGATGATGCGCGCGCGTGTCAATCGTGATAATTGTACGGCACGCGTCATACCATCGCGAAGCTTGCCGTTGTTCGGGTTTCATTTGACGCTGATAGTACAGTAGAGCCCGAGTTACTGCGTAATGTGACTAAATAAAAGTAATAAAGGAAAGCTGTATAACATTTTCATCACACATGCGCCAAAACACAAACATCCCACTATTTATTTGCGTGTATGAGGCACAAACACCTTACAGTGAATCAGCGTCCCTTATCTATTGCGCTGACTTCTCTGCGACACCCTTCTGTACGCAGCGGTTTTCATCATGCTTTGCCTCATTCGTTTCCGCCCCCAGGAGCATTTATTATTCCGTATATCACGCTGACGATCATCGCCGGAAGACCGATGTACCTGCTCGAGCTCGTCCTGGGTCAATTCTCTGGTTACGCGCAGACGAAAGCATTCGACGGATACCCGATAGCAAGAGGCAAGCAGGAAGGGCTGAGTTTATTTGACCTCTTCGTGCGTCTTTTCTTTTTCATAAAATTTATTTGATTAATTTATCCTTGCGGAAGGCTAAGGAAACATGTTTTTCATAGCACTGTTCGTAATTGATAATGATGGACGAAACGGTTGATGAAAAAAGTGAGAGAAATGAAATTTTAAGAGCTCGTTTTTCCTTGTTAAGCGCAACATTATTTGAAGCTAGCAGAGAAGGCTTTGCTTGGCTTTCTTGTCTGCTAGTTCTAATTTGCGATGATAGAAGTGAATGATACTTGTGTTACAGCATGCTCCTTCTGCTGAAAACAGCGTGTTTTCGCGCCTATTTGACCGCGGAAGCAGCCGTTCCCCTGCAGCTAAAACACGAGTCCCCATGTCACGTGGTATCTGTTGTAGCAAGAACGGGCGACAACTATTCGCTACAACGTAGCCAAAGAGGCGCCAATACTAGCATAACTGGAATGCGGCATTAGCCGCGCAAAGAGTTCGGCGCGAGTCACAATACCCAAGAATACAGTTACGAACTTCCCAACCACCGATAATTGTTGTGGTTATACGAATGAAACCCATGATGTAATCATGAGCGACCCAGGCTACTAAGGTGATCATTATGGAGCAACGTAGCATTGAAATGTTAAAATAATACTCATTGGTCATTCACTCGGTCAAATGTAGAATCAAATTAAAAAAAAAACTAACTCTATCACATAAAGTAGATGACATGTGTTATGCGAATAAATTACATCCATGTTAAAAGTACGTCACTGCAAGCGCCAAATCTGCACCCAAACATTACGGGCATGATTGAAACGCAAGATGTATACGAGCTGGATCCCGGTCAAGGAGGCTCGAAAAACTGCCGTGCCGCAATGGACCGCCGTTCTGCACAGAGTTCCGTATTCATCGACCTGCGTAGGCTGGTATAAGTTGCGCTTACGTATATGAACCCATTGCGAAAAAGCAGACACCGGATAAAAAAAAAATTTCATCGTCACACCTGATATTGAATTGCGACTCCCACGTAGGACATAGCATGTATAGCATGCGTTGGTTTTAGTGAAAAAGAGCAGAAATAAAGGAATAGTAAACGGTAGTAAAGAAATTGTTACGCGTGATATTTCAAGTGCTGCCAACACAAGCTATACACTTAGCCACCACTTACCCCCCCCCCCCCCCCAAAAAAAAAAACGGATAGGAGGAGTAGGATAAACTGAGCAAGCACAGTGGGCGTCCTATAGGTGGGCAGCCAACTTTTTCCGCGTAGCCGCTGACTGTGGTCATCCCTCGAGTCCGTTCGATCAGGCTACGCTAATTCTTCTGGTCCGGGTCTCATAACTTGACCCTCCACTGTTCTTACAATATTGAGTGATTGCCTATGTGCCAGGTACACATTCACATACCGTATGTTATAATGTATCTATAAGCATTACAGTGGAGTTCAGCGGGTTCAGAGTGGGCGCCGATGGAAGCAAGCTGTTGCATCGTAGTATTGCTGTGGGGGCGAGAGTGTCCTTCGCACATGCTGAATGCTTCCGGTTCCCAATAAGTTGTCCTGTGGTTCACACTAGCGCCAAAGGTGTGCTACACACTTGGCGTGTAGCAAGTGACTGGGTATACAGCCGAGTCACTACCGTCAGCTTATAGAAGCGTGCCAACATTGCAGCACATCACTGGCGCTACGGTGACTAACAAGAAAACGAATTACACCTATCCTATATGTATTTATCTCAATTTATAAAAGAATAATCTTGTCGTTCGCACGGAATTCTCGCTAAACACAGATAGTTATTTCAAATTATCTAAACATCTTTAGAAACACGTTCTAAAGTTTTTGTTCGTGAAGTTGATACTACAGGGCGGTCGGTCACGCTGTCTCGCAGCTTTTATATGACTGATAGAATAAAGGGGAATTTTAAAGGCTCGCTTTCTTTTTTTCTTTTTCGACATAATATTAATGATAACTAACAGATACCAAGGAAAGTATGGGAGATGTTATTTGTGGCAATTATGATATAAGTGTGAAGAAAGTAAGGTGGACAGAATGTTTACAAGTGTTGAAGGTTGCGTGAGTTGGTTCGTTGTTTTAAACTGGCACAGCGCGTTACAAGCGGCCGAGCAGACCGACACAAGAGGACAGAGCGCTCTGTCCTCTTGCGTTGTTCTTCTCGGCTTTTTTTTTTCTTTACTGTAACGCGCTCCACAAAGCACTTTTACCTGGAACGCCGCATTTTCCCACTCCCCCATCCGAAACTTAACCGACCGCCGGCACTAACCCTACGCCTTTTACAGACACACACGTACCCAAACCTTGCCACGCTTCACGTTTATTATCCCGATGCATACCCCAGCGACACATGCCCATCATGTGGATACACAGCGACACTCGCACACATGCTCTGGGAGTGTAGAACAACTCCTCCCGACTCTACCTCAAGCAAGTGGGAGAGGTCCCTCAGGTGTTCACTTCTCGCCGACCAGCAATGGGCCGTCCAGCAGGCCCACGAAGCGGCCGCCAGGTACTCCCTGTCGGTCCCTACGTGGGAGACGCCCGCTACGCGCTAAGCGCGTCCTGCAGGACTGAAATAAAGTTTTTTCATTCCATTCCATTCCAGCTCAAGATAACTTACCACTGGCAGGGACTGAACTCGCAGCATTCGAGTATACGCTTCTTGTGCCAGCAAGACAGAAAACGTGTTCTGCGATCAGCGCCGACTAACGCCCCCAGGTTTACATGAACAGACACAACCGAACTATATAGGGAGATGACCGCCGCTGTAGCTCATTTAGTGCGTAGCATCAGATGCGTAATTTGAAGGTTACAGGTTCTGTATGCCATCGGTAAGTTATCTTTTCGTTCCCTTTAGTTTCTTATCATTTATATCATAGTTACTACAAATACAATCATTTATATTTTCTTTAGCATTATTACCTGTTAGCTCTCACTAAGCTTATAATATCACGAATCATAAGTTCAACAGCATTCAACTCCAACGCAGCTAAAGCACTGCTTATACGTCTGGAGGATCTACATTAAAAGCGCTGCTTCATGTCTTTTTGAAACATTAAATGTTTAGTATGAATCGCAAAATGAAATGACTAGTGTCACTGCTGCAGGCGTGGGTTGGGCCATGGTCTACGCCTCGGTGTCGTTGGCTCTCTTCAACAGCATGGTGCTGGCCTACGTCATCATCTACCTCTACTACTCCATGTGGAATCCCACGATGCTGCCGTGGACGCAGTGCGACCCCTCCTGGGCCGACGAGCAGTGCTACGTCAAGAAGGAAGGCATTGTGAGCAAGTATATTTTTGTAACAAAACAATAGCGCAGCATTACTGAGGCATGCAGTGGTTACATTGCTTTCTTTCTTCTCCTCGTTTGGCAAGTTTCCCTGCAAGGAAGTGGAACAGATGGCACTGAACAAGTACAAGCCAGAATGGCTGCCCAAGATTAGTCAACTGCAGAGTTTCGTACTACAGGCGGACGCCAACAGCACCTCTAACGGCACCGTCTTCGAAGGGAGGCCGCACGCCAGCAACTGCATTAACGCCACACAAATATCGTCGTACCATTTTTACTAGTAAGAAATGTCTCCTTGATGCGTCACCTTTAGCTGTTGCGTATGACATCTAAAACAGGCTGCGTTCTTTAAAGCCGTCATAGGCGCACGCAGGGTTCCTCAATGAAGGGGGGGGGCTAACTTCTTTTCCTAATTTGATGTTGTTCGAGTGCAAATTACATGTTTCACAATGGATGAAGCAATTATAGTAATGGCGCGTTTCTCCCGGTGGCCTGCCTTTGGTCCCCACCCTTCTGGAAGAAAAAGTGGGAAGTAGGGAGTTCCTGGAATGTAATATCAGTGGTTTTCGGCTGCCATTTTGCTTAAATACCTGATTACTAGTGACTTAGGGCACATTTTGCGCCCCTTTCTCTCGATTCAATCACCCCCCCTCCCCCTCGGTTTTCCTGTGTACAAGCCTATGAACGCCACGGATCTTTAGGCGTACGGAACGACGACAACAGACAAAAGGGGAGTCATATGCACACACGGAATGCCGCACCAAACGATGTTTATTCTGAAAGGACCGCAGTATACTCACGCTCCGTACTGTCACAAATAATCATTGAGCAGACCCATTGAATTAATGCTTCCTTGGCTATAACTTTATCGAAGCCGCGATAACACACCTATCGCCTGCTTCGATTATCCTGTCGGCTGGTAATTCTGGTTTTTTTACTGTATCAACGTAGCAAGAGGGTGCTCGGATTCAGTCCCCAAAGCAGAGATCCCAATTCGTACCAGGCTCACCTTGTGCTCGCCGTAGCCCTTGGCTGGTGTTGTGTCTTCGTCTGCGTCCATGATGGCATCAGGTCACTGGGAAAGGTGAGCCTCCCTAGCCGCCACGATAACAGCTATTGTGCAGAAACATTCCTCGCTGGAAAGATTGATCGCATGCTACACGATGAAATAAGTAAGCTACTACTTGTTATGAAATTTTGGGGCTATGTTCTGAACAGTTTCTATGGCTTGAGCAATATTTATGTATGTTTTATATATGTTACTATGTCTTTAGTTTAAGCAACAAGTCTTTAATAAGAATGGAGTGAGCACATTTGGCAAGCACTCTCAAATCATGAATGGTAGATTGCCACTATCCCTCAAGAAGAAGGTGTATAACAGCTCCATCTTGCTGGTAATTACCTACATCGCAGAAACCTGGAGACTTACTAAGAGGCTCCAGCATAAATTGAGGACGATGCAGCGAGCGATGGAAAGGAAAATTGTAGGTGTAACTTTAAGAGACAAGAACAGAGCAGAGTGGACCAGGGAACGAACCGGGGTTCAGAATATTATATTTGAAACCCAGAAGAAGACATGGACATGGGCTGGGCATGTAGCGTGTAGGTAAAATAACCACTGGTGATTAAAGGTAACTGGATTCCCAGAGAAGGCAAGCGCGTTGGGGGGAGACAGCAAGTTAAGTGGGCAGATGAGACTAAGAGGTTTGCGGGGATAAAGTGGCAGCAGCAAGCACAGATTTGATGATTGATATGTGGGGTTTAACGTCTCAAAACCACCATATGATTATGAGAGACGCCGTAGTGGAGGGCTCCGGAAATTTCGACCACCTGGGGTTCTTTAACGTGCACCCGAATCTGAGCTCACGAGCCTACAACATTTCCGCCTCCATCAGAAATGCAGCCGCCGCAGCCGGGATTTGATCCCGCTACCTGCGGGTCAGCAGCGAGTACATTAGCCACTCGACCACTGCGGCGGGGCACAGCAAGCACAGGACCGAGTTGACTGGTGGAACATGGGAGAGGCCTTTGTCCTGCAGTGGACATAGTCAGGATGATGATGATGATGATGATGATGATGATGATGATATAAGTCCGTGAGCGTGCCTGTATGTGTACTTTTACAGAGAACGCCTTCCATAGCTAGTTTGTTATTGCAAACTTCGATGGCGCCACCGCACCGAAGCGCCACGGCCTTCTCCTCGGTGGCGCGGCCGCGATGTGGCGTGTGGCGGACGTTGCCCTGCAGCCTACAGCGAGAAACTGTGGAGGTAGGGATTCTTGAAGAAGGAAAAATGCACCTAATTTATGTCATCCGTAAGGTGACATGGTGCAGCACCTAAGAGAAAAAGAAAGACAGGGGGCGCGGCCTATGCACTGCGCTCGCTTCGCTGTCCTTCAACCCGGGTAGGGTAACCCGGGTAGGGTAACCCGAGAGCGGCGGCGGCAAATCGGCCGGCCATCGGGGACGCTGAAGAAGTAGAAAGGAGAAGGCCATTAGATCTCGTGTTCAAACGTGGCAACGCGCGTTCGCCGCTGCGGAAAACCGTCTATACAGAAGGTACCCCAGCTATATCTATAGCCAGAGTTTAACGATATGCCAACGCACTCTGACGACGCGACCAAATGTCTGTTGCTGGCTACTTCCTAGAGTAGGACGTCACAAAATTTTGTTCTTAATTGCGTTATTAGTAATGCTCAACTAATTTATGAAGTAACGAAGCATGAACTACATATTTCGAAGACAAAGTTGTTGATAAGTTTCCACAAGGTCTGGTTGGGTGGTTTCTGACTATCTGTTAAGTTTTTTTCGCTTTCTACTGATGCCCTCGAAATAAAAAAAAATGGCAGCATATCCACGGAGTGAATGATGGGGAGTGGGGCGAAGCATTCGTCCGTCCATTCGTTCTTGCTTCCGTCCGTTCCTGCGTACGTCTGTGTAACCGTCCATGCGTCCATCCACCCGTCCGTGCGTGCGTCTGTTCGTGCGTCCGTCCCTGCGTCCGTCCATGCATCCGCGCCTGCGTCCGTTCATGCGTCCATCCATGCATCTGTCTGTGTGTCCGTTCGTCCATCTATTCAGCACTCCAAGTACCACCATCTCGAATATTTTCATCATATATTCTCCATATAGAAGCACTGCCATCCAGCGGACATTCCAAGGACTAAACGGGAGGTGGCACATGCACACTTTCTTACGGCTTGCGCTTCGGGTTTACTCCCACCTTTAACCACCTCGAGTTCATGGTATATACTAGTTCACTGTATTCATGGCTATGCGGCCCAACGCTCGCTAAACCTTTCTAAAAGCAAGGAGGTTACACCCAGCGAGTATAACGTAGCAACCCTTTCTTGTCAGATCGTGCTCAATGTACATGCCAATAGCTGCTAATGGGGATCGCAGCGTGCGCGTTAACTAAAGGCCGAATGCTCCTGCCTCTCATTCCCCCTTAGCAGCCATTAACATGTGCGTTGAGCACTATCTTTTGTTGTTCAACAACGCACAGAAGAAATCTCTCACCGGAACCACCTTGGAGGTCAAAATCGTGAGGACCGCAATTTCGGGTATGTGCCACTGGTGGTTATGTACTACGAGGGACGCACAAGCCACGCCATAAGGAGCTTCGCCCCTAATAAGAACAAGAAATATACACGTAGCATATATCTGCTTCCGTGTATTCTTGCAGCGCTCCCAAACGTTCCGCGCGAAAACGACCATAGCATTTGCCGAGTGTGCTGCCTGGATAAGGCAGCGATGATGGTGTTGGCTGTGCGATGGCGCACAACCAACACCGCTCGTGTTGCCGCTGGCAACACGAGCGATAACCGCTGAATCTGTTTATCGGTCTCATATACCGTCGTGTACGAAGCTTATCGTTTGTAGGATGCAGACCACTAACGAGCCCTGCAACCACGGTGCGCATAGGCGTGCAAGTGGACATGTCACGCGTTTTTCTTTTTTTCCTGTATTTCGCGGAAATCTGCCATCAGCCTGACTACGCCCACTGCAGGGCAAATGCCTCTCCCATGTTCTGTCAATGAACCCGGTCTTGTGCATGTGCATTTGGTTGTCACGTTATACATCTCATTTTCTTTCTCCCTCTCACGCGTTGAACTGCGTTTGAACATGAGAGCGATTTGAACAGTTTTCAAAGCAATGTTGCACTCTATCAAATTTTTCTCAGCTTGGACGCCGATCCAACCGGCGATGTCTGTTTGGGCCCAGACACCATCGAATGTGTCCCAGAAATGTCATCGTTTTATTTTCACGCGCATGTCGTCAAGGCGATCTACATAACTACTACACTGCCGTTCGGGCTGCTGCTCATCATACTCGCTCGAGTGCTCGCTCTGCCAGGAGCGTCTATGGGGCTCAAGTTCTTCATCGTGCCCAAGTGGAGAGAAGTTCTCTCCGTCACGGTACGTACCTGCGTGCTCTGTATTGCCTCGTTAACAACAGAGATGCACATTTTCAGCCTTTGAACGCTTGCACAATTTTAGAAGACAATACTGTGAAACACGCAAAAAGCAAGGAAGGCCGTTCACGACACCTCTCATTTGGTGGTATATCAGTCCGATCAGGTGACGAGGTGCTGCTATTGACACCAATTCGCACGACTGGTCTGTGTGACAAGTTCCAGCCTCCATTCATCGGCCCCTGTGTAGTTTTAGAGCAGACGCCACTTGTCAATTATCGCGTGACGCCACTTGTCGTGCCAACTGACCGCCGTTACCGCAGCACCGAAATTGTACAAAGTTTCCCGGATGGAGTTTTTCACACGACGTTCCTTGTCACATTGACTCCCTGCCCGCAGCGGCCAGACTTGCCGCTTCCACGTGCGGGGAATTAGTGCAGCACCTATTATGCGCTTCATCCTCACCTGAACAGCAGGCAATCATTGTCTGTTTTGGCTTACAGTCATCATCGTCTTTGTACGTGCGCTTCATCTTCGGGTCGGTGGTGCTTGTCTGCTCCCGAGTTCATGGCCAATGAACCTCGTTACAATGGAGCATTGGGGTGGGAGTAACGAGTAAAACTTACCGATATCGCCTACTACGTAACACCAAAGATATTTTTACGGCAAAGCTGGCCTTCTCGGGGCTTTCGTGTCTAGAGACTGCCACAGATTGTAAATCATGTTGAAATTTATCCACAGGAAATGGGTGAATCCCACCATGAATCCCATCACTCCTCCCAGCTCATTCAACTCCACTGCACGCCACCATCTTCGCAGTTTAATGAGTTGCCGCCAGGAGGAGCTGGCTGAATTTTTGTTGAACATCATCATATAGTCAAAACAAATTAAGCTATATAACGCACCTTTCATGCACAACGAAACTTTCGTTTCAAAGATTCGCTATGAGTTCTTTCGGAGGTACATAATCTTCTGACAGCCAAAGCCTTTCGATGTCATAATTAACGCCTCTACGACGCACTGCTACAAAACACACTGAAATTATCCACTCTTTTTGTGTTCACATTTAGGCGAACCGAAAAGAGCTCTAGAATAACCAAAATTGGAGCAGAGCTATTCGAACTACAACAGTTTCGCAGCCTACTGACTGCAGTGGTTAGCAGGTGTTCATGCGTTGTTGTTTTTCTGCTTCTCTTGATCAGTGACGTACGTTATCCCGTTCTTCTAGCTCTGGGGCAGAGCCGCCGAGCAAGTGATCCTGTCGCTAGGCCTGGGATACGGCACCGTCATCTGTTATGCCGGCTACGGCAGGATCCGAAACAAGCTCATAAAGTATGTATTCCCTCGCAGTGTCTTGACGTCACGTAGAGTGTGGAACTGCGAAACAAAGGTTCGTTGTGTTAGTATTAAGGGATGAGAAAGCTGGGAGGCTGCGCAGGAAATCGCACTGGTAGTTAAAGTGATAGATTCACTGCCTGTTCTCTTCCCAGCGCCACCACGTGTAGTCTTTTCAGAGGTAAAAAAGGTATATCCCGACCAGGGACTCGGTGGTGTGGGCACCCCCCTCCCCCCCCGCCTTTAGCAGTGCCACACTTTTAATGGCTTACAAAATTAGCAAGCATTGTTTTTCAGTTGGTCGATTCAGATCAATTCGCTTCGTGAAGGAGCACTCCCGTTGATCCGCCTATTGTCAGTTACATACTAAAAAAAAACTAAGCTCCACCCACAGCTATTGCAGTTCCTTACAAAAAGAATATATACTATACGCCCCCCGCCTTCTTCCTGAAAGGGGGGCGAAAATTCATCGCAGTGCCCCCTCCCTAAGGGGCTGGCTTTGTGCCGCCCCCCTGCCCCCTGCCCCCTCGTGCGCACGCTTATGAATATAGATTTATTTATTTATTTATTTATTTATTTATTTCGACATACTGCCAATCCCATCAGGGATTTTAGCAGGAAGGGCGTGAACATAAAAATTCGAATAGGTACACAATAAAGACATACATCGCCATAAAGTACAGAATGAAACTAACAGAATCGGATCATTTAACAATTTCAGATCAAAGAAGGCATGAAACATTAGTGTAAAGAAAAGTTGTCAGAAGAAAATAAATGCAGCGACTTGGTTGACACATTGGTTGACATATTGGCATATGCATCAAGAAACACAACTAGAAATTACAGCAATAAGAAACTACCCTACAATATGGCGAAGTATTTCAAGGAAGGGCAAATTTATACACACTGAAAAACAGAAACATGTTCAAGAATCAACAGAGCGATTTCTCTTCACCTGGATTCAGTACTAAAAAATGCTTAAAGAAAAAATATGATGACATGATACTTCGCTCGTACAATGTTCACACGAACACACATATTAAAATCAACCAGGTGATTCCGTTTGCATAATACAAAGTTCATTTTCGACAAGGGTTAGAAATTTTGCTAATTCGGTAGTGCTGGAGATACTCGGATCCAGTTTATTCCATTCATTAGTGGCTAACGGAAAGAATGAGTACTTAAAGCAGTTTGTGTTGAAGGAGTATTCGTTAAGTCTCATTGGGTGTTTTTGGCGTGTTGTTCTAGCTTGATCAAACGTAAGATAGGCGGATACATCAATGTTTAAATGACCATGTATTAATTCATGTATGAATTTTGCACGTGCTAACCTTGTTCTATTCATTAGAGTAAGTAATCCAGCTTTTTTCATTAGTTTAGTCGGAGAATCTGTATGTCTGTACTTGTTGTAAATGAACCTCATAGCTTTCCTTTGTATTCCTTCCAGTTTCGTGATTTGCTGTTTTGTGAATGGTGACCAAATAATATTACCGTATTCAAGTAATGATCGCACAAGGGAAGTGTATGCAAGCAGTTTTAGAGAAGGCGGGGCCTGGCGAAGCCGGTATCTGAGTGTAAACAAGCGGCGTAGTGCAGCTGAAGTAACGTAACTTATGTGTGCATCCCATCTTAGATCTTCAGTTATAATAATTCCAAGATATTTATGCTGACTTACTCTAGTTATGGGAATGTCATTAATGGTGTAAAGAAAATTTGACCTAGTTTTTTTTCGACTTACTGATAAAATTGTACACTTGTTTGCATTAAGTGACATCTGCCATTTACGGCACCAGCAGGAAACATCTTGTAAAGCACTATTTAAAGCTACATGGTCCTCCGTTGAGTTTATTTCTCGATATAGCACGCAGTCATCCGCGAATAATTTGATTTTTTCCTTAATATTTGTAGGCAAATCATTAATAAAGAGAAGAAACAAAATTGGCGCCAGCACACAGCCCTGCGGAACTCCAGATGTGCCGGAGGTGGTAGCAGAGGTTTCATCGTTAAATTCCTAAATTCCACATACTGTGTACGATCAGTAAGATAATTTTTGATCCAGTTAAGAACAGTAGAATTTCCTAAGGTGGCCTCAAGTTTTTGAAGTAGTTTCTTGTGTGATACCTTGTCGAATGCTTTGGCAAAATCGGGGAAGATTAGATCAGTTTGTTTTTGGTTGTCAATACTCTGGGATACCTCATGTGTTAATTCCACTAATTGAGTTATGGTTGAAAGACCTCGGCGAAAGCCATGCTGATAGGGAGATAATATACGTTTTTCTTCTAGGAAAACAGTTATTTGTTTAAGAATTATGTGCTCCAAGATTTTACAGATTGTACATGTCAGGGATATAGGTCTAAAGTTAGATATATCATTTCCGCATCCTCCTTTATGCACAGGAACAACTTTGGCCTTTTTCCACTCCACAGGTAAAGAGCACGTTGATAGTGATTTGTTAAACATGACGCACAGATATTTAGCTAGCACCTCTGCATATCTTACAAGAAAGATGTTAGGAATGTTGTCAGGCCCTGCTCCTTTTTTTGTGTCCAAGTTTAACAAGAGATTTATGACACCGGCCTCATTGACAATAATCGATTCCAGGGTACCTTCCGCACTAGTGTCGATGTCTGGAATGTTTCCGTCATCGACAGTGAATACAGACTTGAAATAGTTGTTCATTTTGTCTGCAGTGATCGGGTTATCTTTTTCCGGGGGTGTGTTGCTTTTGTTGTTTTTTGCAGGCTTTAGGTAGCTCCAAAACTTGCTGGGTGAATTTTTTAGAAAGTTTGGCAACGTTTTAGTGAAATAGTTGCTCTTCGCTGTTTGATTTTTGTTTTTAGGTCACTCACAGCAGCAGTCAAATTATTTACTGTTACTGCTCCGGGTTTTCGTTTCATTCTCTTTCGTATTCGCTTTACTTTGCGTTTCGCATGTATTACCTCACGTGTTATCCACGGGTTGTGTTTCTTAATTTTTTTCACTCTAAGAGGTACAAAGGTATTAATACAGTGGTGCATAATTTCTTTTAACTGAGACCATAATATTTCAATGGTCGTGGAACTATCATTCGACAATTATTCGAAGGACGGAAACTTTATAATTAGATAATTTAGTATGCTGGTGTCGTCGGCATATTTAAAATCCGGGTAAGTAATTTTTATGTTCGTTGGTTCTATTTTATCACGAAAGGGGACAGTGCACAAAGTGAGCTTGTGATCAGATATGCCATCCATAACTTCAATCTTTGTTTCATCGACTGGGAAGTGGTTACTCAAGAATATAAGGTCAAGAATATTTGAAGTTTCTCCCTGGACACGTGTTGGTTGGTTGACTACTTGGTGAAGATTAAATCGCAGCATTGTGTCGATAAGGACATCTGAGCATGCGGAATGAAATTTCATGGATTGCCAGTCGATATCAGGAAGGTTAAAATCACCCAACAAGATGAATCTTGCGCTTTGTATGTTTTGTTCAATGTAGTTGTAGAGCGATTGCATGCTATTTTCGCCAGAAGTAGGACTGCGATAGCAGCAGCCCACAATTGTTGTGTGAAGGCCAAATTTTAGTTTCAAAAAGACAGCTTCTACACCTTCAACCTCTGGCAGCACAGTGTATTGTATTTCGCGTTTTATCATTAACGCTACTCCACCGCCTCGTGTCGGTCTGTCCTTCCGTATTATATTGTAATTTGGGGGCGTTATTTCACTATCTAAAATGTCATTATTTAACCAGGTTTCGGTTAAAGCAACAAAGTCTGGCTCAAGGTCGAGAAGTAGGCATTCAAGAGATTCTAATTTGTTTAAGACACTTCGGCAATTCACATTTATAAACCTCAACTGGGGCGGTTTCGAGTGCGAAACGCCGGCCCGTTGCTTGGCAGGTTTTTTTTTTCCAGTTGAGGGATTTTTGCCTCGCCAATCATCACTTTATCGTTTACGGTGTCATCCCAGCGATAAAGAATACGGTCTATACTAATTTTGTCGTAGACAAGATGTACCTTTTGCCCGGATTTCTTATTTGGTTTCGCCGAGTCCCACATTTTTTTCCTTATATTACGCACACGCTGGGAAAAGTCTTCACTAATTGATATGTCGGTATCCTTTAGTTTATGACAGTTTTTCAAAATCTTTGTTTTGTCTCGATCATCAAGGAGTTTGAAAATTATTGGTCTAGTTTTGTTCGCGCTTGGTTTACCGAGCCGATGTATCCTTTCGATTGAAACAGGTTCAATTTTCAGAACACCTTTCGCAACTGTATTGTTTATTACTTGCTCTAGTGATTCCTCGTCTTCTTTTTCATCCTCAGGGATGCCATACACTATCAAGTTACTTCTTCTTGACCGGTTTTCTAATTCATCCAGCTTTAATTCTAGGCCTGATACTACTTTTTCTAAGGCGGAAACTTTTGTGGTGCAGTCCAGTATTTTTTTATCTAAGGCAGCCAGTTTTTCTAATTTGGACTCAATAGTGGTTAGTCGTTCTTCTTTAATTTCTTTAATATCACCAGCAATTTGCGTTAGTTGTTGAGAAATTTGTTTTAAGTCGGGCCCGGGGTTTGTCTCGACGTCACCTGCTAGTAATAACAGGTCCCTCAAATAGCAGGACAAGTTACACAAGGGATCACAAAGCAACCTTGGGCACGGCAGCACAATCAAGAAGAGGCAGTCAGAACGCATGCATTCGCCGTAGCGTTTTCTCACCTGTACGACATACAAGAAGGGATTAGCGCTCTGCATGCTTCGGGTGCCGCCGTGCCCATTAATCACCGTCGCTTGGGGGGCCGTATTTATATCCAGTGTTGTCGACGTTGAGTGAGGCACCGAGGGGGCGCTGAAGATGGCGTCGGTGCAGTACGTCGCTGAACCCAACGGGTCCAACTTGTAGGGCCGGCCATCCATACCAACCGGCGCGTGTTTCACGTGGCGGGCTTTATCACGGCCTGGATTTGCTGTCCACGCTGTCGTCGGTTTGCCCGCTTCTTCATGCCCCGCCGGTATCAGCAGCAGGAAAGTGCCGATCTGTACGACATACAAGAAGGGATTAGCGCTCTGCATGCATGCTTCGGGTGCCGCCGTGCCCAGATCATTATTAGTATGGCAGCGCGCTTGAACGAGCTTATCTGGACGTCCATATATTCCTCTTTAAGCCAGCCAAGTTTAAACAAAAGTCGGATGACAACTTGGCATACACCGAGTGCTCTACAATGAAAGAGTGGTATAGTCTGTTTAGACAAAAAAAAAAAAACACCAATGATAACAAAAAAAAAAACACGCTGAAATCGCCGATCTCCGAGTACCGTCAGCGGTAAAAGGTGTATGTAAATAGCTCGCCGTTAGCAAACAGATGAGCGTACGTTTTACGGCTGAGTCGATTCGCACCGCGCACTTCGGAGCGAGAGGTCGTATAGGCTTGAATTCCAGCGACAGAACTTTTTCTTCTAGTTTTTCCTTTCCAATCTTTCACTATATGTTTTATAACGTCATACATGTGACGGAAATACGTCAGTGGAGTCATGAGGGACCTCGGCATAAAACATTTTCGTGTTGAAAAGAAATAGCCCCGCCGCGGTTGTCTAGTGGCTAAGATACTCGGCTGCTGACCCGCAGGTCGCGGGATCGAATCCCGGCTGCGGCGGCTGCATTTCTGATGGAGGCGGAAATGTCGTAGGTCCGTGTGCTCAGATTTGGGTGCACGTTAAAGACTCCAGGTGGTCGAAATTTCCGGAGCCCTCCACTACGGCGTCTATCACAATCAAATGGTGGTTTTTGGACATTAAACCCCACATATCAATCATGTTCAAAAGAAATAGAGAAAACAGGATTGCGACACGTGAGATAGACGTCGAAAAACCTGTCTACCGTTACTCAACTCTTGGAAATAACGCATGACTTCGTAACTACTATTAACTCACAATTGCAAACCGACTCCATATTTATAGACTTCGCCAAAGCTTTTGATAAGGTGCCTCACAGTAAATTGATTGACAAACTTGTGTCTATTGGTATTAACAGTAACATAATAGCATGGATAAAAATGTATCTATCAAATCGAAGCCAGTATGTAACCGTAAACAACACAGCCTCTGATTCATTGGAAGTTTTTTCTGGAGTACCACAAGGTTCTGTTTTAGGACCCACCTTGTTCCTAATATATGTTAATGATATCTATATGTGCCTTGAGCCTAACGTTATAATGAGATTATTCGCTGACGACTGCGTGATCTACACCACTATCCGCACAACTGATGACCAGCTTAGACTTAATACCACACTAGCTAATATTGCATGTTGGTGTCTTGAGTGGGGAATGGAAATTAAGGTGTCAAAAACAGCTTGCCTTAGCATAACTCGCAGAAAAACAATCCAGCATTTTAGTTACAATTTGGTCGGCACAAACATTGCAAGAAACGACGCTGTTAAATACTTGGGCGTTACCTTTACAAGTAAACTGAAGTGGGATGCACATATAAGCAGCACATACACAAAAGCCTATCGCCAGCTGGGGTTCCTGCGTCGAAAACTTGCATTGGCGCCTCCTAATGTAAAGATGATAGCATATAAATCTCTCATAAGGCCGATTCTCGAGTACGCCAGCATTGTTTGGAACCCCCACCAAAAATATCTTTCCGACAAATTAGAAATGGTCCAACGCAAGGCCCTTCGCTTTATCTATTTCTAAGTATTCGAGGCATGACAGTGTCACTGAGCTGCGCAGGCGGGCATGCTTGCCGACCCTTGCAGCCCGTCGCCGTGTCTCTTCCTTAAAGTTTATTTTTCTTTTGTATCACAACGGTTTAAACATAGATAAAGACAACTATATAAAGCCGCCTAACCATCACTCCCGTCGTACCAACCACAATAAGTGCATTAGACCATTTATGTCACGCTGTGACACTTTTAAATATTCATTCCTTCCGTCAGCAGTGGAAGAGTGGAACAAATTGCCACGTGAATGCGTTAATCATTCCTCTGTAGATTCATTTGTTCGGAATGTAGAAAGCCTGTTTTATGAAGACTAAAAGCAACTTTTTTTTTTATGTTTGTGAGCGCTTCCTCTGTAGATTCATTTGTTCGGAATGTAGAAAGCCTGTTTTATGAAGACTAAAAGCAACTTTTGTTTTTTTTTATGTTTGTGAGCGCTTCCGAACACACTGATCACAGTACCCCCTGCTGATACCTTGATGTTTTGTGACCTGTCCATGATTTTGTACAATTGCTTTCGTCGTACAAGTTTTATTTTCACGATCATCTTGTGATTCTGTTTCTTCCGCTATGTGCGATATTGCCTGGTTTGTACGCGACTGTGTATATTTGCTCGCCCACCCTGTATGAGCCTGAGAAAGGCTTACAGTATTAAATAAATAAATAAATAAAAAAATAAAAATAAGCAGTGAAAAGGGTGCCATTTGTTTTTAGAGCGTGCTTACGTGTGACTCGCACGCCCCGCAGACAAAGCGTCTACTCATCAACTCGCTTTTTTAATCTTTTCTGCAGTGACCTAGAGATTATCATCGTGACGCAGTTCTTTGCAAACGTTGGTTTCGGCCTCGTCATCTTCTCCGTGCTTGGTTTTCTGGCGTCGGATCTACAAATATACGTCGAGGACATCATCACTTCCGGTAGAGTTCATCGATATTTCTGAATATCGATATGACGTTGACAGCGTAGTGTAGTTGTATAGTTGCTCATAACGTTCTGAAAAAAAAAAAAACAGTTGCAAAGCCGACAAGAGAAGCATTATGCGTGCTCAATGTGCCTGATTGATTGATTGATGAATTGATCGATTGACAGTTTAAATGGTCGCTAAATCGGCATAGCTCGTGATCTTACCGCTATCGTTCGGATTTAGACTGCGTGATGAAGGCGAATATCGAAAGGTCTTGAAGTCTGCACGTGACCAGTTGGCTTGGATGATTTTCGAGAAATATGATGGTGTGCAGCTAATTATACGAGGGTCTCGGTACATGCTCCAAACATGCGTCGCATGATGTCCTTAAATAGTGGAGCTGCTCAAACAGCCCCTACACCACCTCCGATGATTTGTTTTACAATTCAAGCAAACGCGTGCATCGAGTTCAGAATGCCGTCACGATCAACAACCCAAATGCGGCAACGGGAGGAGCTGAGAGCGCGTTACTAATCCCGAATTTCTTCTCTTCTACGTGCCTTTCGGTAATCTCCTGTGTTCGTAGGGACGTCAACATTTACGCCTGTTCATATCACGCACAACTACGCGCTCGCCGCTCTTTCTCCTCGCACGGTGATGAGGATCACCCAATCAGGGGGAGAGGTGAGCCGACAAACGGATAATATCGAAGGAAAAAGCTAAATGAGTGAGTTCCTCATTTGGATCATCAGACGCATGTAACTTCGCTGTTACAGAACCATTTTGAAAAATCCTCCCAGCTACGCGTTCGGAGTAGATCCGTGCATAACTGCAACACCATAACTAAATATCGACCTTTGGGCGATTTAAAAGCCATTTACGCCTGAAAAAACTTCGTTGTCGGCCCGCATTAACTGGTTGATCGAAAAGAAGCCATGCTAAAAGGGGAGCCTAGCCTAGCTATGCCAAGGCATAGTGTAGTAGCGAAAGGAGCGCAGTGTAATCTAGCAAGAGGTTTGAAAAGGGGAGTTAGGATGAGGGAAAGGGGGTAGAATAGAAGAGTATCATAGCCTTGTATAGAGGGTGAAGCATAGCTAAGCGTAGCCTTGTATAGTATACTATAGCGAGCGGATACGAAAGGGAAGTGAGCGTGACGAGGAGTGATGCGAGGGTGAGGTTGAAGAAAAAAGAGGAATGAAGATATGAAAGCGCAACGTAGCCCTGTAAAGTATAATGAGGGAATGTGACAGGGAAGTGAGGGAAATAGGGAAAAGGGTAAAAAACCCTACACGAGGCAACGCACAGAGAGGGTAATATGACAGAAATGAGAAGGGTAATGTCACCAGCTGCACGGTTTCCTGTCTTTGCACTGCTATTGTTTTGTAGTGTTTCATTTTGTGCTGTTTTTTAAGTTATGAATAAGTTCCAACTTTCTAGACTATTGACACATTCATATTCTCGTGCAGCGTGCTGCATTAAATCCCTTTCCTTTAACCCCATAGTTATTCTCAAGATTAAATGAAGTTCTACGCTTATTCTTGCTTGTCTCCCTGCCTCGATTTCTTTATTTACTTTGTCAAACGCCCATTAGCGTGGTCAGGTGGACAGGTATGAGCGTTCATACCCCCTTCCTCCCCCCCCCCCACACACACTGAATATTTTTTTTTATTTTGCATGTGTATATATATCTACACGTACCTATGAAAATGCACACACTCAATTATATAATGCATTGTAGAAATCCCCACATCCCCGAAAAAAGTTGTTTTGGTTGCACACTTGCAAAGGCTCCTCGTAAACGTGTCTAGTGCGTGACAGCCAGCATCGTAGAAGTGTTTTTTGTTATATTTTTGGGCATATATACATAAAATATCAGTCAACCATTGTTATAATTGCACTGGCAGCTAGCTGTAGACCCGGAACAGTGTGTGTCGTTTCAGTGTTGACCTTCCCATTGCTTGTCGCAGGCTTCGACCTTGCCTTCGTGGCATATCCGGAAGCCGTGAGTCATTTCAGGAACGCTTCCCTGTGGGTCGTCTGCTTTTACGCGTCGTTGTTCTGCATGGCGCTGAATGCACAGGTACATACACACGACATTTTCGCATGATCAATAGACATCTCGAGGCCGCAGGTTCGATTCCCAGCCGCGGCATCCGGATTGCGGTGGCGGCAAAGTGCAGCGGTGGGTTTGGATTTAGGTGCATGATAAAAAACCCCTGGGGGTCTAAATTACTCCATAGTCGTCTACCACTATGACGTTTGTCAATATCATACCGAAATTTCAGATAATGAAACCTTATGTATTATTATTATTATTATTATTATTATTATTGTTGTTGTTGTTGTTGTTGTTGTTGTTGTTGTTGTTGTTGTTGTTGTTGTTGTTGTTGTTGTTGTTGTTGTTGTTGTTGTTGTTGTTGTTGTTGTTGTTGTGACAACACCGTTCTCCTTCGCTCATACATTGTAATAATGATGATGAAACAACTTTATGAGGTCCAGTGAAAAGGCGGGCACAGTGCCGGCACAGGGCATCTAGTGCACAATGCCTGCTGCCTTGAGTTCGTGTGCTCGGGCGGTATCCTTGGCTCGCTGGACGGCCCATAGTTTTTCTTCTATTGCGGAGCCAGCTCCCAGTGCCGGCGCTGGGAGCTGGCTTCCTTTCAGCGCCCTGCGGTTTGAGAGTGGCTCCTCGTGGTCGAAGTGTGTTTTCTTATCTCTGCTCGAACACTCCCGTAGTGTGTGATTCAGTGTTGCTCTAGCATCACACGCCCTCTACATTCATCTGTCAAATAGAGATCAGGGTAACACAGACGAAAGATCGAGGGTTTTTTGTGTAAATGTGTGTTTACACTTGTCAACACGCAACCGCCTGCTTTGTGCTTAATCTGTGGTGTGGCGGCGGGTATTTGCGTCTGGCTAGCTTGTAGGGCGGTAAAAAGAAATCACTTTGCAGCGTCAGGTGTCGAATGTTTGCCCACGCTTTTCCCGCTTGCGTCTACGGAATACGTCGAGCTGTGTCGTTTGAAGTGGTGCGTGCTGCTTGGCTGTGCCAGCCCTGCAGGTCCAGGAAGCAGAGGGTTATCATTCGAACGATAACCACCACACACGCGTGCAAATAAGGTGAAAACTTTTTCACGGGAATGATCGCTAGATCATTTGCATACACTAAGCGAGTGCTATCCTCTGCAGCCGGTAAAACCGGTGCATATATATTATCAATCTTTCCAACACTTGCAACGAGCTCCTCCTGGTTTGAACGATTCCTGTGAAAACTGTTTCGTAGCAATGACTAGCACTCTATTCTTTACGCCGTGGTTATCATAGCGTTAAAAGATAGCCGGTCCCATAGATAACACTGGGGAATATCGTTATTATACCACTGAAAAAGTGCTCAATGCAGGAGCGGAGTAATGGCATTGGAGAAGGTATCAACCGCTATGCCAAATCGTGACTGGCAGCGTGTAAGATAACCACCAGAGCGGCCACCCCATTGTTGTGCGGTGCATTAATAGAAACAGCGTATGCAACGCTGTATGAGTGCTGCCCCTATTTCGCTTACACAGTGCGCCACCGTTCAAGCCGTGCTCAGCCCCGTGCGGGACGAGTTTTCCCCCGCCGTGAGACCTCGTCGTTGGGTGCTGGCTGCCACCGGCTGTTTGGTGCTCATGTTGTTCGGGTTGCCCATGACACGACAAGTGAGTTGGCAGGGTCAATGGGAGTGTCTGTATACTACCAGCGCAAGAACACATTGACAAGAAAGAAGCCGATGGACTGCGCTGTGTTCTGTCCTGTTTCTTGTCCTTGTGTGATAGTGTCATGAATTTTCAGTAAGGCCAAGCCGCCATCCTTGTGAATGCGTTCCCATTCTGGCAGCCTACGTTGACAGCTAAATAAGAGCACACTGCAACCGCGAACCTCGGCTCCACGTCCGAGTAATTGAAAGCATTTTGGAAGACGCACATGTGGGGTGCGATGTCATCTCACGCATGCGCAGCTCATACCTGCTATTCTGGTATACGCAAATTGTTTGGCGTTTATACCAGAGGTTCCATTCCTGACCACGGTGGTCGCATATCGATGGGGACGAAGTACAATGACAACCGTGCACTTGGAACAACTGTGCACGTGAAAGAAAGAGCCCCAGATGGTCGAAATATTGTCACGTGGTCGTGACGATGCAAGAGACTCCAGCAGAACTTTGAAATGCGTGACCCTTTCGTTGTCCGAAGTTGTTCTCGGGAAACAGTGCGTTAAATTGTTAGTGAGCAATGTGCTTTGTACGTATATACAGATAGCGTGGATTGACTGACGATAAATTGACGAGCAATCAACAGCGTCGGCATATATTGACTCTACAATGTTCGCGTTGCGCACCTAATCTCATCGGAAGGTCCTGAGATTCCTAGATAGTTCCCAGTCAATCGGGCGTGCTTTGCGCAAGGCAGCAGTTACATTGTAATGAGTGGTAACATGGAAACAGAATGAAAGCAGCACGTGTGGCGATATCTTGACCCGGAGTCCGCTACTGTGGTGTGTATTTCTTTGCTCGTTCTCTGCAGGACGGAATCTTCACATTGAAGATGTTCAACGCCTATTTCGGGGACCTGTTGCTGCCGATGCTGGCGTTATTTGAAACCTGCTTCGTCGTGCACGGATACGGTGAGAATAAGAAGGCAACCGTTCACGATGGGTGCAAAAAGAGTGCGTTATTTTGTGCTTGATTTGTTGAGAACCAGTAAATCAGCCATGGGACGTGCAGCAAATCGAATCTCTATGGTGGGTAAAAAGTTTAGATAGAAGCTTTACCTGGCAGGTTTTTTTTTTTTTTTTTTGCCGTGCACTGAAGCTACACACTGCTCTCAATCATGATGCACTAATCTCTTATCAGAATTCTGTGACAGTGTTTGGCGCATTATGTAGCTTTTTTTTTTTTACCTCGTGCACAGCAGAATGACGCCTCAAGCACTGAGCCACCATGGAAGAGCCTTGACACGAAAAGTTCATGCATCCCCACGCCGTTACTATTGCTCATTTTTCTGTGGCCATCTGACTTCGCTGTTCTGTGGAAAACATACACAATAACCCAAAAATGTGTTGGAAAGGTCATACGACCTAAAGGTCACCTGCTATTATGGCTTAGCTGCTACGGCATTGCGTTGCTATGCAGGAAGGCGCGGGTTCGAATTGCGGCCATGGCAGACACATTTTGAAAGGAGCGAAATTCACCCGTTTACTTCGATAAACAGTGCGTACCATAATATAGCTCCAGGTGGTCAAAGCTATTGCGAAGTTCCCGAGTGTATTATAATCATACCGTGGTTTTGACAAGTACTTCCCTAGAAGTTGATACCCAGTCTAGATGGAAAAAAAAAAAAAAAACTCGCGGGGTGCCTTATGTGCGTTGCTTTAGACGACTCGAAAGTGCAAGCCACCTTCTCAGTCGAAGTACTTGTCCTCCTTTACGCGCCCTTTCTGCACTTTATTAGATTTTTGTACGGCCTCCAAAATTGAAGGCATTGCAAGCATTGCACACCTCACCTGATCTTCAACTGCCTCCGTGATCGACACACCTTTGCCCAAGCGACGATGTTATTTGATGACGTCATTGGTACATAATGATGAAGCTAGAGATTTGGTTATCTGGGACGTCATGTTGGTGTCATCTTGTGCTGATTACCCTTTTTTTCTAACGCGATAGCGTAAAAAAAGAAGCTTGTTTCACAAAAATTCCGGTGTTGTGGTTGTGAGAGAAAATCATCATCTTGTGCGTGACTGAAAAATTGAGAAAGATGCAATGTAAGATCCTGGGGTAAAGCGGGGACCGAACGAGAGTTGTTTGGGTTTAAGCGGGAATCGAACTCGGGTCGTTTGCATGGCAAGTGGATGTTCTACCACGCGGCCACGCCTCTGCTCGTGCAAACAGCGAAAAGAACTTCCTCTGCATAGAAATGCAGCAAAAATAGCTTTCGTGCTTCACAAACACACGCGTCCTGTATGCATGCTTCGCAATGCAACATTAAATGTTGCAGTAATAATGCGTGGTACAGGCGTCCATTGCCAATGGCCGTCCAAATATGTGATTATCATAATGGCTCCGTGTTCGAAAGCCGGCGAAAAGGTTTCATGCATCAAGTGTTTAAAATACGCACTAGAAACGGATTGTCGCTGTCGCGTTCTCCTGAAGGCGAAGCTCTATAGGGTCCCCAAATGTATATATATATTTTTTCATCACTCGGATCGATGCCGGCACCAACGGTCAGTTTTCGCGCGCTTGATGACCAAGGCATCTAAGGCATTAATTAGAACAACAGAAAGGTTAGTCAACGAGCCGTACCAGTTGACCGGATTTAGCTTGCGAGCAACACTGCGTGTTAGCGTGTCAATCTGTTTCTCATGCTCTGAGGGCATCGTTCTGATTTGCACTGATACAGTCATTCTTTTTTTTTTTTCAGGTTTGAAACGTTTCTCTCACGATATTACCTTTATGCTCAAAAAATGGCGATCGTTTACGCTAATGTTTTTGTGGAAATACCTTTGCCCTGCCATCATGCTGGTGAGCTCATAACGTTTTTCCGCTATCACTTTTGTTATGGGGGTGCCATCTTAGATGCCCGCATGAAACATGTGCACATGGTTTACTTAACAAAACACAGTAATATAACTAGTTGAGCTTTTTGTGTGTGTGTGTGTGAAGCAAACTTGCACTTAAGGCGTAATGATTGGTGCGTATGCGTGCAGTTTGTTTGCTCTAAGGTCTGTGTTGTGTGTGAATGGAAGCAGTGTGTTTGCTCTAAGGTCTGTGTTGTGTGTGATTGGAAGCAGTGTTTGGGGGAATCTGTTATCGTGTATCCAATGGTCATAGCTGCTTGTGACAACGCATATCATTCAGGCTTACCCACGTATTCACAAACGCTCCTAGACTCGACTTCCACCCTTCGCTTGACAGAGTTGAGCGCTGCGTCTCCGCTCGGCTGACAATGACGCTGCGCTTCTCAAGAATCGCAGCAGATTATCGCTGATATGCAGCGACTTGCCGTGCCTAGAGAAGGCGCTCCCATCGGCTTTCTCAAGTGAAGGTGAAGCGTTCAGTGAAGGGACGTTCTACAATACAGGGCTTAACCCCTGTGGGCCCAAGCAAGCTGCAACAGGTTCTGCCATTCCGAAATGTTGGACAAGTTTACGAAAAAAAGGGTACAAAAAAGAGTTTCTTCCTTGCTACCAGCCTTTACAAATCAACTTCATATAGAGATGGGGTGTAGTCGATATTTCACCTCACCTAAGTTTGGCTATAACGGGGGTATTACCGATTCCTCATCACCAACGGTCAGTTGATTGCGTACACTGGGACCCAGTGAATAATTACCCTTACACATCTGTATTTACATTTTTTTCGTCTGCAGTGTTTATTATGATTTTGTGGTACTGTTAAAAGTAAGCTTACTAACATTTTTTTTTCGGTTTTTAAAAACATGGCTAAGCGAAAAGAGTTATTACAAACATTTTGGCTAAATCCTATGGCACATGAGTCACCGATGAGGGGAAAATCCCTTGCACATGTGCTAACTATATATGGTTGCCAAATGATGAGCGACTCATTGCCATCTATATGAAAGGGGCCTTGCAACACATTTTGAGCATCGTCAGAAAACGCTGCTGATCGGTAATAAAGGCTCCCGAAAACACGCGAAGCAAATATTAGAGCGCAGCACGCGGCCTGCAATTCACAATAAATTATCAAATAACAGCTGAAAATTACTTTCTCTTCTCTCGACAAATGACGGACGAAGCTAAAAAAATTACTCGTGGAAGGCCATCTATCATCCATTGGCTGATTTGTATATGGTGCCCTCGGTCGTTACAGGGGTCGTCGCGGGAGGCCGCGACTTGTCCACGTGCGCGCGCGCTATCACAATGAAATTGGCACTTATTCGAAGAAAAAAAGTGAAAAAGAGTGCTCAAGGTTATGAGGCGCGCGTGACATTTTTTCTGTGTACGTGCCATCCCCCCCCCCCCCCCTGCTTAGCTTCCAGCGCTTTCGTCGGGATGAAAGAAGGGAGAATGCGATTGTAGCGTGCGGCAAATCTTTGCAACTCTGCTCTTACGGGGCGGATTCTTTTAAAAATTTCTGCATTGAATTTGTGAGGCAATAAGCTCTTTTAGTGAATCCATTCCGTGGTTACTTGAAAAAGTGCTTCAGGGCCACTTTAAACAGTTTCCTAAAGTAAAGCCTTTATACTAGTCCTTCTTTTTTTTCATAGCATTTCTATACGAGTTTTCTATACGAGTTTTGTTATTGTATATTGAATGATTATCTCATGCTGCTGTTGCTATAATACCAAATGGCGTGAAAGCCTTCGTCAAGCTTTAAAGGTTTTTTTTTTTCTCTCACCAAGCACCATCACTGTTTGTGACTTTTGTATACCCTGCGATGTCAAACTAAACCGAATTCAATTGAAGTAGGCTGCAGGGTATGCATTGAAGAACCCCAAAGCAACCCATGAAAATAGAAAGAACGAACCAATTATTCTCTCCTCAGACTTCTCGTGTTTTTTGGCCCAATTAATGACGCCAGCAGCCTGTCCACGCGACGTCATGAGGAAATAAGGTCACGATTGGTCCGTACAGGAGAGATATCAGTTGTGAATTGTTGCCCCGCCGTGGTGGTTTAGTGGCTAAGGCACTCGGCTGCTAACCCGCAGGTCGCGGGATTCAATCCTGGCTGCGGCAACTGCATTTTCGATGGAGGCGGAAATGTTGTAGGCCCGTGTGCTCAGATTTGGGTGCACGTTACAGAACCCCAGGTAATTGAAATTTCCGGAGCCCTCCACTACGGCGTCTCTCATAATCATAAGGTAGTTTTGGGACGTTAAAGGCCAGATATTATTATTAGTTGCGAATTGTCTCCAACCCTGCTTGGCCTTGCAGCCGCGCGCCCTTTATGCTTTGATTTGCATGACCGTCGTGAGAGATCGACGAATGTAAGTTCGTTTGGCACCGTTTTGACTGTGCGAGCGAAGGTCACAATGTGCAGCCCATAAGAGCGAAATTCTGATAGGCTGGACACTTAGGGCTGACATTGTTCACTTGTCTTATGAATAAGCGGTAACAAAAAGATAGTGCCTGTAGGAAAGGTAGCGAAAGCTAGAAAAAAATTTCTGTCATGTTTGAGCCCGGAGTGTTTTAGTAGTGCTGCAAAACAAACAAAAATGGAAAGACATAGATCAAGGCGCAAAAACTAAATTTATAGAACTATATTATTACGCAGCGGCATGTAACAATGTAAGAGTAACGTTCTGAAATATCCGCAATATTCGAAATAGCTGAAGACAATGTTTTCAGTCCATATAAAGCAGTGACAATAGCTCATGTCCCCTCCCCACATAAATTATCGTGTATGAAAACCCCATAACTACGCTTGCGTAATGTGAGATTGAGTAAATGTTAGTTTTGACAGCTCATGCTTGTTTACTGAGCTTACTTGCTACGACAACGACAGCATTTGCGTTTTACGTATGGTTTCGATGCGCTTCTTATTTCAGGGTATTTGCATCACAAACATCGTGTTCTTCGAGAGACTGCACGTAGCAGGATACGACCTACCTCAATGGATGACCTACGTAGGCATAACGCTCTTATTTATGGGCCTGGCGATAGTTGTTGCCTTCTGCGTGTACCACCTTTATATTTGTGATTGGGTGAGTCATTTTGAAAGTGGGCGGGCCTTACAAAGCAAATATCATTTTCCGAACAGTATACACGTACAACGTCTGTATTACACGTATAAAGTGCGTAAAATTTATTACGGGCGAAGCCCCTTAAGACCGCACAGTGTCCGTAAAGAGTAGATATAGCGCAGATGCATGGGAACAAACCAAAACATCTGTTAACAACAAAACGTCATCAAAAGGTTGTTAACGTGAACCAACGATATAAAAGGCCACTACACCGTAAGGACACCGATATTCAACCATCCACTAATGAAAGCATATCAGAGCTAGAATAAAAGGTTAGCAAGATAATAAAAGGCTGTTAACCGAAACAACATAGAAATCCATGAATCATGATGTCATGCACATGACTTCGCCGCATGATCAGAATTAATTTCGTAGATGTGCGCGTATTTTAGTGGCCCGATCCTAGTGGCACTCTCTTTCTTTGACAAGCATATCTGGTCAAAAACTTACTTTCGGTTTTCAAGATTACGGGAAAGTTCTTCTAAACAATAGAAGGCTTAGCAGTAATTCAAGTGAAGAATTGTAATTTAAGACAATTAAGGACAGATTAAGTGTCAGTATAACTCATGAAACCTAACTGGTTGAGTTCAGTGAAAGGTTGTGAACAGCTGCAATTGTAGCGGCACCAGATGGAGCGTATCTTAACAACGCGCTTCTCTCTACGTGGCCTGATATATACAGCACACGAAACACTATATTATCCCAAGGGCACGTGAACGCCGACGTGTGAATACCACAGCTAGACACCAAGGTCTAGGATTAAGGTCAATAGCCAGATTTTTTTTAATGCAGCAAGCTAACCCTCTTGCGTGCAGCTTTCATGATGATTAAATGTTGTTGATGGTGATGACGTTAAAGCCACCATATATATCCGGACGAATTTTATTTTGTCGTGGCATCATGTCACAAGCTTGTGGCTGTCTGTTTTCCATATCACACAAATATAGCCTACTTGCAAGTGCAATTCATTCATTCGTCCGTTCACTTGGAGCTGTGGTAAAAAAGTTACACGGTCCCATTTGCATTCTCCTAAGACGTCTGGAAGGCTATAACGCCAACTTTGGCTTGTTTCTTCTTGATCGATTATGTTGATCCCGCCCGGAAGCTATTCACACCCGACGTGGTTTTGAAATGCTTCGGGGACTGGAGAACTGAAGGAATTTGAAGTTTCCAGAACCTCGTGGGGTTTCGCAGTCACTCCATGACTGACCATCCTTTCACCAATGGACGATATCGTGTGATGAGGCATATATTACGCGCACTATGTGTTTTATGATGATGTCATAACTTTTAGCGACCTGTGAAGTAATGACGCCATAAAGGGACTTTGTCACGAGGATATGTGATACCCTCATGACATGTCGTTGTGTCTTGTGAAGTCACGATGACGACATGATGTTGTTGCAAAGCTTGGTTACATCATCGCACGATGATTTCCGCATCACTCGCGTTGACGTCACCGACGGTCACTTTTGACGTTTGATGAGGCGTCTTTCGCCTTAATACAGAGCACGCGACTATGGCCACTTCCGGTGCAGGACTACGACGAGGCGCTGGCGGTCAACGAGGATTGGGGTCCTCGGGATCCCGACGAACGGTTGCGCTACCACGCGTTCCTCAAGAGTCAAGACGCTGAGGCTGCGGTCGACGCGCCAAGCGAGGACACCACGACGGACGCTCGCAGCCAGGGACGTTCATCCGGCGAAGAAGGAGAAAGCGACATCGATGACATGGTTGCCGTCGCTGTCGAAGAGATCGTGAGTGTTGCATGCTGAAGGGCGATGTTGAAACGAACCACTGGCTTAATGCGAGTGTCAAACCATGAAAATGCAGACAAAGTCAGAGATAATCTGGGCTTTCTGGAATTCAGTCAAAAAAAAAGGACATTTTACTGTTTTTTTGATGAGTCCTGACTTGCCACACATATGCTCCCTTTAGGAATGCGTATTAACTCTCTTTTGGGTACCATTATAATCGTTTGAAAAGTATAATAAGAGCTATGTGTGGGATGAGTCAGGACTCAAGATGACTATCGCGCGTAACATTAATTTTCCCTCGTTCAGGCCAGCGCAATGAGACGCGCTGGTCTGAACGCGCTTTCACACCATCATTTTCCCTATGTTTCGTCGAGTCGCAGCTATATTATTATTCGCTTTGACGATGATGATTGATGGCTGCCTATTTCGGGAGTACTTTTACAACGAAAGCTGTTATGAGATCAGAACACCGCTCACGCGAGGTGGTGTAGTTGTCCGCCGCTGCCGCCGCTGGCGCTGGTGTACGTTACCACTCTCGCACGAAGCAAGAGGAAAAAAAAAGAACTACGGACACAGTGGGATTCGGACTCGAGTCTCCTGCGTGCCAGCCCAGTATTCAACCACTGAGCCAGGCCGGTGCTTAGAACTCGCTTGCAAGTTCGCCTTAGGAAGGCTTGATGTTGGGAAAGGAATCGCGTTAATATGAGTAATAAAACGTTTTAGAACAACAAAAGAACAACCAGGCGTCGCGCATGTGAATAGCGTAACGAGTAGGTCGTTCAATGCTCCAGCCCATTGCAAAAGCTTCTTGATCACCCATTAACTGTGGCTCATACCCACGTCAGGCCTGATTCTTCATCGTCGTCAGCTACTGCGTCGAAAAGTGGCACAAAATTCTTTACAAGTGTGCAACGAATACCACGATTCTCCGAAAAATGGAAAGGGATTGCATAGTGAATACCGGCCTGCTACACAGAAATTATGATTATTTATGGCGTTGTGGGTACCGAGCAAGCGTGTTCGTAGCAGTTACCCAAAGAATGTTAAGAAAAAGCTCTGAAAGACCGCTCTTCGAGCTTGCGCTGTGACTGCTGCACGTTCCGCGCAGGTCTGGCGTTTTTTTTTTCCTTTTTTTTTATTTTTACCCTTTCGTGGAAAGAAAAAAGCCGCAACTGGGTGACCTTTTTTTTTCCTGTTCTCCGCAGCCATGTTTTTATTTACACATGTCTGAAATAAAGATTCAATTTAAATCAAAACTTACGGGTCTCTTAAGCAATTCCTTAAGACGATTGGATGGTGAGAGCGATCCTATTTTTCTACGCAGCTCATGTATTGACCGTCTCTCTCTCTGAAAGCTTTCTGTGCATAGCGCGGTTTTACGCTGCCTCCGCGATCGGAGACATTGCAAGTTTTAACGCACTTCACCTGGTGTTGCACTGCCTCGATCCCTGGTCGGCCAACCATAGACCAAGCGATGACGCCATGCGATGACGCCATATGCTGACGTAACCAAGTGATGACTTATTGCACCGCTAGCATTTACGCCAACGGTCGAGTCTCGTGTTTGATAAGGCATTCAAGGCTTTCGCCTGAAAATCTCGCAGCCGCCAGAGGCCACTGCGGTCATGTCGGACTCTATTGGAGCTCAGTCGGAGGACGTCGCGCAGTGCTCGGACAGCGACCACAACGCAGGACTGGCGCGCACGCTGGTCATCTCCGAGTCGGGTGTCTCTGTCGTCACCACTCCGCTGTCTGACGGCAAAAAGGGGCCACACAAAGCCGCCAGCGTCTCCTAGGCAGCTCCTTCTTTTTTATAGTCACTCTGTATGATCACACACGTTGCTCTGATTTCCGCTTTACGTAAAGGCATCCGATGATACTCACAAATTCTCTTCTCGCTGTCTTTTTGTCCCCGACTATAATCGACTGTCCCGTTTCCTAGCCCTTACGTACCTTAGGTGGACTAAGTGTCACTGGTTATAGACTTTCGAAAGCAGATCCGCGCACAGGAGGAAAGACAAAAACAACGTACAAATATACAATGTATGCTAATGACGAATATAATGTGATTACATTGCCTGCATTATTTTTATTATGGAAATATTCACCTTACTGTGGAACACCTGCCCCTTTCAATTGCATTTATTTGTGGCATGCTTGCTCATGTATTTCGTAAGATTGATTGATTGATTGATTGATATGTGGGGTTTAACGCCCCAAAACCACTATATGATTATGAGAGACGCCGTAGTGGAGGGCTCCGGAAATTTTGACCACCTGGGGTTCTTTAACCTGCACCCAAATCTGAGCACACGGGCCTACAACATTTCCGCCTCCATCGGAAATGCAGCCGCCGCAGCCGGGATTTGAACCCGCGACCTGCGGGTCAGCAGCCGAGTACCTTAGCCACTAGACCACCACGGCGGGGCATGTGTTTCGTAAGGAAGGTATAAAACATCTTAATATTGTTTTCACGCTGCATCTCCTCTTTGCACACACGTGGTAAATTCTGTTTTACGGAACAGTTAAATTAGTAGAAATAATTGTATGAGATGATGGCAAAGTGTCGACGTTTAACGAGGCTGGCCCTTACAAAAGCTAATTTAAATTCTCTATAGTTTGTCTAAGGATAAATTTAGACAGTCTATAGACTGTCTAAGCTTATGTTTGTAAAGGGGGGGGGGGGGTAGCATTTGCCATGCGCACAGCACTTCGATAAAATATGGGAGGAAAAAAGGAGTGAGAGGGTGTGCGCGTTAAGCGAGGAGTCGTTTAGTCGCGAACAGTAACATATAGTCTGATCATTTGTGTACATGGGGAATGAAGCATTCAAACGAAATGGGCCGACACAGCACGTGACTGTCGAGACAGAGAAACGTGGTAGGTTTTAGTTGCATTTTTGCAGTCAAAAATATACAGCTCAACAAGGGCGCATCGAGTAAGAATTGCCTTGGAATAAACACCAGCCATTACCCAGGGTCACGAATGTCACATGCAGAATTGGACCAATACTGTAAGAAAAATAAAACTTGAGGAATGATCTCGCCAAGGACTCTCCTGCTAACGTTGATGGTGGGACATAATGTTCTCTTCTGTTTTTTTTTGTTTTTTTCTGCATGGCGTAATGAACTGTGGACAAAGTCATGGCCCGCTTACGCTGCTCTCTGCATCGTAGTCTACAAGTCTTTAACGCCCTCGTGGTCGGTATAATGGCCCTCGTGGTCGGCATCGTAGTCTACAAGTCTTTAACGCCCTCGTGGTCAGTGGGCACGGCGAAATCCGTGGAAACATGGCTAAACGTTTCCTCTACCTTGTGCAGGGCTTGCTGCTCTGCGTCCCCAACGTATCTCCTGGATCTACAACGGTCACCACTGGGTACTCGCCGCATTCGCACCACTTTCCTTTCTGCAAGTCACAGCCGCCCCACGTGGAACCATGTGACGTCATCCCGAAGCTGCTGTCGCCTGGCAGTGCTTGGTCTGTGACGTCATCCGATCATCGACTACTTAAAGACACCTGGAACCCCCCCTCCCTTAGTGGGCACGGCGAAATCCGTGGAAACATGGCTAAACGTTTCCTCTACCTTGTGCAGGTTAGTAGGGCGTACAGCTCATTTCGAAGCGATTGCCGCTGTTTGGTTGTTATGCCGTGCCCACGGCAGTGTCGTAAAATTGCATACGATTGTTTTTGTGCACTTCGGTTACTACTTTGTGGTGATGTCGAACAAAACCCCGGACCTACCAACCAAGACATGCTGGCTAAACTTTTAGAGGGTCAAAAAGCTCTCCGTAGTGAGGTAGCAGACCTTACAACTAAAACGGAAAACATGTTAGCAGAGCTTACACGGCGTCTTTCAGAAATCGAGACCCATGTGGCTGAAATGAAAACTAAAAATTCAAAATTAGATGACCTGGACAACCTTCTTAAGGTCTACACAAACTCAATGAATTTCCAGGCTCGAAAGCTAACGGATCTTGAAGATCGAGGCAGACGTTCAAACTTAATTGTTTTTGGTATCCCAGAACAGCCGGAAGAAACTGAATCTGATCTTAAAAAGAAAGTCGTCTCTGAAACATTTCACAGCAAGCTCGGCGTTAAATGCACTTCTGTTGCCCGGATTCATAGGCTTGGAAGATCAGGCTCGAATAGGCCGATTATCTTGTATCTTCAAGACTTCACCGAAAAGCTAGCTGTGCTGAAAAAGGCGAGCAACCTAAAGGGAACTAACATCTTTGTTCAGAACGACTACTCAAAGCAGACGTTGGCAAAACGTAAATTACTGTGGGAAAGTGCAAAAGCCGACAAAGAACAAGGCAAGAAGGCATTTTTGGTGCATGATAAGTTGCGTGTAGGTGATGATCTGTTTATTTGGAATGACGTAACAAACAAACGTCAGTTAATTGGAAGCCGTCGGTGTGCCACGGCATCGCCTCAGTCTATCGGCAGTGCACCCGATAACGACAGTACGGGTAGCAAGTGTTGACCAGCCGCGCAGAAGCAAGTTAGACTGATTAATATGAATGCTCGAAGCATTGGAAATAAAACCGAACAACTTGAGGCTGTACTTTTAGCATACAACCCTCATGTTGTTGTAATAACGGAAACGTGGCTCCACAGCGAAATATGTGACCAAGACTTAGTGCCTCCAGCTTATGAAATGTACCGCAGAGATAGGGCCTCAAGAGGTGGTGGAGTTGCAGTACTTGTTAAAACAGGAATCACTGTCACCCGTTTACCGGACGTTGAAAGTACAGAAAGCATATGCCTGAGGCTTTCACTCTTCAATAAGTCTTTTGTATTGTATGCAGTGTACAGGCCGCCGAATTCGTCGCCAGATTATTTGTTTAACTTGAAAACCCATATGGAAAATTACAGTAATCAAAAGCTAATTATCATCGGCGACTTCAATCTGCCTAATATTGACTGGAACCAAATGCAGTCGACATCAGATTTGATTAATGTAAATATACTGTTCGATATAATGCTTTCCCACAATCTCGCCCAAATTGTTCAGCAACCAACACGTGTTGGTAATGCTTCGTCCACGTTACTAGATCTTGTGTTCATGCATCGCACTATTCTTGATTGCTGTGTTTGTGTTGAACCCGGCTTATCTGATCACGACATGGTCACAGTTTCTTTTCCCTTGCATTGTAATCGCTCCAATAGCCCACCTAACTCTAAACAGGTCAAACATTTTTCCCGTGCTAACGATACGAGCATCCAAGATTATCTTGAATGTGAATTGGTGCATTTTGATCGGGACGATGCTTCTGTTCTCTGGGATAAGTTTAAGAAACTATGCTTCCACTGCATTGAACGGTTTGTACCAAACAAAACGAAAAAACCCCCAAAGTTCACACCATGGATCACAAGGCCAATAATACAAATGAAGCGTAAAGCCAAGCGTTATCGGAAAAAAGGTGCTCCCGCTAACATTCTCAGGGAAATTCGTAACTCCCTCTCCGAAGCTATTAAAAGTGCCAAGAATTTTTATTTTACTGTCAAGTTGCAAAACTTCATCAAAGAGGACCCTAAAAAATTCTGGTATTTTATTAGGGACCGTAAAAGCTCTGTAAATCGAATCAAGTTTAACGGCACTATAATTGACAATCCCCAAACTATCGCGAAAAATTTCAACGACTATTTTCATAGTGTTTTTTCAACTTCTACCCTGCCTGTCTCAATTAGCATTGACGCTTCTGATTCAGATCCTAACCTCATTTCTTTCGATGGTGTCCTTAATTTACTGCTGCGATTAAAAGTTAAATCAACCCCTGGACCAGACAACATACCCAATGCATTTCTCCGGCGATATGCCGAAATATTGGCCAAGTACATTGTTGTGATCTTCCGAGCCTCAATAAGTTCAGCAACTTTACCCGTCGATTGGAAATTGGCACGTGTTCTGCCCTTTGTGAAAAAGGGGGACCCAGAGTGCATACCAAACTACCGTCCCATTTCTATGACTTCCGCATGTTGCAAAATGCTAGAACATATAATTGCCACTCGTATAAACAGCTTCTTAGATGATAACCACATTTTATCTCCCTTTCAGCATGGATTTAGAAAACGGTTTTCCACAGTCACCCAGTTGGTCTCAGTTATTCATCACATTGCTTCTATTTTAGACAAAGCTGGTCAGGTCGATGTACTGTTTTTAGATTTCAGTAAAGCATTCGACCGTGTTCCCCATAACAAGCTCATCGAGAAATTGCAGACTATAGGGCTTCCAAACTACCTAGTATCCTGGGTGTCTGCTTACCTGAACGGCCGGAAACAGTATGTCGACGTCTGTGGACAGACATCACCTCATCTCCCAGTAGATTCCGGCGTACCGCAGGGTAGTGTTCTAGGTCCGCTGCTATTTATAATTTATTGCAATGATATTGTTAATGCTATTACTGATCCGGTTAAAATAAGACTTTTTGCAGACGACTGCATTATTTTCACAGATGTACAATCGCCAGATGACCAGGTTGCTCTCGACACTGCCCTTAACAATATTCTTTCGTGGTGTAACAAATGGGGCATGGTGCTCAATTTCGATAAATCTGTTTGCCTTCGAATTACTAACAAGAAAAATCCGCTTCAGTTTTCCTATTCCTCCAAAAGCCAACCCTTAAAAGAAGTCAGTCAATACAAATACCTAGGCATAACGATAACGAATAAGTTGTCCTGGAATGCACACATTGCCGATGTTTCGTCATCGGCTTTCCGTAAACTGTGTCTTTTAAGGCACAAACTCAGAGACGCCCCGTCGCAAGTGAAACTATTAGCTTATAACACTTTAATA